CAATGGTTCGCAGAACCTGCATGCGCACACCCTTGTGCTAAGCCATGTTTTGGATTACCAGGCTGCACCTGACAGCAGCTCACCAAGGTGAGGTGCAGCTTCAGGCCCAAGACTCAACAGATCTTTGTGCAACCGGAGGAGTAATCAAGGGGGAGTCTCCCTGGTTGCCTCAAGTGGCAGTTGTGATAGCAGTGGAAGGAGGAAGAAGATGGCATGCTTTTCCCATTGTTTCAATAAGAGTTCTGGATTAGTGACAGTGGACCCCTAAGGGGTGAGACCTGCCACAAAGTCTCAAGTGGGTTGTGCAATTTACTTCTATATCAGTGTTGCAACCTCCACAAACGATGGTAGAACTAGGGTTGCCATATTTCAAAAAGTAAAAACCAGGACACCCCAAAAGAGCCAGTGTGGTGTAGTGGTTAAGAGCGGTAGTCTTGTAATCTGGGGAACCGGGTTCACGTCTCCGCTCCTCCACATGCAGCTGCTGGGTGACCTTGGGCCAGTCACACTTCTTTGAAGTCTCTCAGCCCCACTCACCTCACAGAGTGTTTGTTGTGGGGGAGGAAGGGAAAGGAGAATGTTAGCCACTTTGAGACTCCTGAAGGGGAGTGAAAGGCGGGATATCAAATCCAAATCCAAAAGTTGAGCTTTTTTTTTTTTTTTTTTTACAAAAACACAGAAACCCCGAGATTTTTTAATTGACTTACCTAAGATCCAGCAGGACAAAGCACCACCTTTAGGAAATTCACCCCAGACATTAATTCCACCTTTGAAATGCTGGTAATGTCCAGGAAGACCTGGATGTGTGGCAGCCCTAGGGAGAACACATGCTTTGCAGGCAGGAAGCCTTGGATCAATTCCTGGCACCTCTAGTTTTTTAAAACAAAATGCTGCTTTAAGGCTTTGGAGAAACACTTCATTGGGTGGGCAGACTTGAAGCTTCCAGGATCTATTTTGTTTTATTTGGACCCCCCAAGATTCACCACCTGCACTAAGTGGAAGACTAGTGGCTTTAAGAGCTGGGTGCACTTGTTATGAACAGGGTGCCTTTTGCTCACTGCACAGTGCAGTAATTTGAATTTAGTAACAAAAGTGAGCTGCTGGGTCTTGTGACCCACAAACTCCAAGTGTTCTTGAATTCAGTGGCCTAATTTGTAGTGAAGCAGCCTTTTGCATTTGTTGCTATTGCTAAAGGATTGAGAAGCAAACACTTGCCAAACCGGCCAGAGATCTACTCCTTGCCCCCCCCCCCAGCCTAGACAGACTAATGCTCAGCCTTGGTATGAGGCAGAATTGGGGGAGTGTGTGAGCCTCCAGAAGCTGCTCCAACAATGCCAAGCGCCTTTCTGTACTCTGGTCCTGGGTGGTGGGCTTTTCATGTTGGTTCTAGAGCATCAAGCGAAGCATGAGACGAGGGATGCCAGTACCTTCCTTGCTAAAGGAAAAAACCCACTGCAGTGTCCTGTTTTTTTAATGCGGGGGCTTCACTTTCACTGGCACCCAAATGCTGTGCTTCAGCAGGGTCAGCATCTGGCTGTGGGGCAGCTGCTGAGTTAATGGCTGCAGGAGGACCCTTCCTCTTTCTGAAGATAAGTTTCCTACATCAGCCTTTGCCAACATGGTGTGCCCTTTGGACGTTTTGGCTGACAACTCTCATCAGCTCCAAACAGCATGGCTGGCGCCGATAGTAGATCTAGGCTCAAGGATCTACTGAACACCTGCTTGGTGAAGGCTGTTTGAAATAGTGATGAAGCAATATTGTAGCCAGGAAGCATTGCTTCTTTCAAAGACACCCCCCCCCTTTTTTTTTGCCTGATCTGGTAAAAAGATTGTATGCTCGTCTGCCTTTTTCTCTGTATTTGTTTTTGTGTCTTGACAATAAACACAGATGCTGAAGTCTCTATGCTGCTGTATGCATTGTTGGCTTAATTTAGTTCTCTTTTACTCTGTCACAGTTGGGATCTCTAAACAGCTCACAGAATGAAGAACGAGATGTTAAAATACAAAAAGCCCAGTAATTAAAAATGCAGCAACTTGTAACATATAAACTTCACTTTCCAGTGGAGGAAAAATAAAACTAGTTAGCAGCTTTGGACGATCAAACAAGCAAAACTCTAATGTTAAAGGAGCACAGATCTGTTTTATTTCCAAGTGTAAGTTGTTTACAAGGCTTGGGTGGATAAAAGGATCTTCATCTGGTGCCGAAAAGAGCAAAGAAGATGCCAGATGTGAGGCTATTCTGTAGCTGAAGTGCTGATCCCTTTGCGAGGGCCATGCGCCTCACTTCACTTGAGTGTTGGCGCATGGAACAAGGGCTTTGAGGAGGATATTATGGTTTGGGTAAGTGTATGCAGGAGAATGTGGTGTTCTGGCTAACCTTTATGCTGTTAAGGGCTTTCAACCAGCCCTGGAAGCAGCCTGGCATCCAGTGTGGCTGATCAGGTACTGGCATAAGATTGAACAGCTCCGTCCAATTAATAAATATACTGGCCTATTTTGAACCAGCTGTAGTTTCTACTTACAGTGCACTGTAGTCCTAAAGGGAGGTGACCAGAGTGTCCAGGTCTGTCTAAGCTGCCATATCAGTTGGAGCTGATAAGAGGCTTGTTGAGCTATGACAGGGTAGGTGAAGCCACTGGCTCTCCAGGTGTTCCTTGACTCCAGCTTCCATTAGCCTCAGCCAGGGGATGGCTAGATGTCACCAGTCCTGATTCAGGGGTTGCTGCAAAGCAAGCCCTCTCCTAGCTTGGCATGCCCCACATTTGTGAGGGGGGTGGCAGAGTTCCCAACAGGGCAACTCCATAGCCCCCAGCCTCCGCCAGGGGCACCACATGGAATGAACATGTGTTGGGACTGACTGAAATCCCACAGGCAGTCAGGGGCTTCCACCTGGAGTACTGTGTCCAGTTCTGGGCACCACAGTTCAAGAAGGACACTGACAAACTGGAACGTGTCCAGAGGAGGGCAACCAAAATGGTCAAAGGCCTGGAAACGATGCCTTATGAGGAACGGCTAAGGGAGCTGGGCATGTTTAGCCTGGAGAAGAGGAGGTTAAGGGGTGATATGATAGCCATGTTCAAATATATAAAAGGATGTCACATAGAGGAGGGAGAAAGGTTGTTTTCTGCTGCTCCAGGGAAGCGGACACGGAGCAATGGATCCAAACTACAAGAAAGAAGATTCCACCTAAACATTAGGAAGAACTTCCTGACAGTAAGAGCTGTTCGACAGTGGAATTTGCTGCCAAGGAGTGTGGTGGAGTCTCCTTCTTTGGAGGTCTTTAAGCAGAGGCTTGACAACCATATGTCAGGAGTGCTCTGATGGTGTTTCCTGCTTGGCAGGGGGTTGGACTCGATGGCCCTTGTGGTCTCTTCCAACTCTATGATTCTATGATTCTATGATTCTACCTGTCCTGGAAGTTTGATACAGTCTGCTTATTGCAAACCCCCCCCTCAAAATGGGACATCTTTCCTTCAAAAGGAGGAGGGGAATCTGCCTCTCTCTCAAAACGGAGAACTCCACATTGAAAGCTCATATTTGGATGCCTACCTCCAATACCTCCAATTTCTCTCTTCTGTAGTTTTCCTGTGTCTATTTTAGATTGTGTCCCCTGTGGGGAAGGAGCCTGTCAGGACAGCTCTTTGTTGTCTTGTGCACAGGTGGTGCAATATAGATAATACATTCCAAATTATTTTAAACAGCACTCAGTGTAACCTTGAATATAACAGCAGCAGGTAAATGTTTGCTTAAACAGAAGCCCACAAAGAAGCTGTCCAGAGTGGCTGGGGAAATCCAGCCAGGTGGGTGGGGTATAAATAATAAATTATTATTATTATGTCTGCATCAGAGCCAGTCTGTAAACATTGCTCAGTCTCAGATACAAATTCATGTAAATATGTTTCAGTAACAAGTATCACCTACCTGTCTTGTATGTTCCATCTGACAAGAGCAGTGAAGAGCAGGTAGGACTCATCAACCTGGGAATCTAGAAGCAGGAAAACTGATCCTAAACCTCCACTGCTTTGCAGAACATCTTTGGGAGAAGAAAAGGCTCAGGAGTAAACCTTACGCAAATCTGGAGTCCCTAAGTCAGTTGAATGGTGCCTCGTACGCTGTGGCTCCTGCAGCCAAGCTGGTGCCAAACCTGTGGCTCTTCTTGGGCCCCATCAGTGAGGCTGAGAGGGTCACTTTGTCTTGCACCTTGGGGAGGTGACACTAATGCAATGGTTTGAACTCATCCCTGGAAGCACGCTCCATTGTCTCTTGAGACACACAGATGCGGTTTGTGAGTGTGGTGGTGTAGGGGATCGGGTGTTGGCCTAGCGCAGGGGTCTGCAATCTTTAAGACAAAAAGAGCCACTTGGACCCGTTTCCGAAGAAAAAAAAACTGGGAGCCGCAAAACTCGTCATTATAAAAATAACTTTTTTGTCACTTTTTTATTATTTCTTTGTTTGACCCCTCAGAATTACTCCTCCTCATAGAAATAAACGTTAAATTAACAAGTTACCTTTTTGTGTGTGTGTGTTCTTCACTCCCCTTCAAAACAGTGACCAGCGTACATGCCCCCTTTCAATGCAGTGACCAGCATACATGCCCCTTACAATGTAGCGGGCGGGCGGGAAGGTGACGTAGGGACGGTGCGTGACTAACGCACGCACCGCCCCCATGCGACGTCACAGCCAGTACAGCGCCCGCCACAGTGGGGAGTGTCGGGGCGCACAATGCGCCTCCTCCCCTCGCTAGTATCCGCCCCAGAGCCGCGGCAAAGGTGTAAAAGAGCCACATGCGGCTCCGGAGCCGCGGGTTGCAGACCCCTGGCCTAGGGCCTGGGAGACCAGGGTCCAAATCCCCACCCAGCCATGAAGCCCGATGTTGGGCCAGTCACCTACCATCTCTCAGCCCAACCCACGTTACGGGTTGTGGTGAGGAGAGGAAAGGGGGATTATTAAACAAGCAAAAACAAACAATAAATAGCTGCCTGCCCTCCAGTGCTGTAGAGGACACCAATATTGAAGGAAAAGTCAGCTACTGGAATGAGGCATGTATGGACTTTCACCTCAGGCAGGAGGATGTCTCAGGCAGGTTTTTATGAGTGCAGAGGACCCTTCAGATAACCTGGTCCCAAACTAAGGTTTAAAGGTCAGTGGCAACACCTTAAACTGGGGTCAGAAGCAAATAGGTAAGCAACATAACTGGTGCAAACAGGTCCCGTGTGATCCAAGCATTTTAGCTCCCACATATGCCACCAAATAAAGTTTCTGAACTGTCTTCAAGGGTTACTCCATGTGAAGCTCATTGCAGTAATCTAACCCCATCCTGTATCACTGAGGCAAGGCATGCCTTCTCTTTAGTAAGGCCACAAATGTTAGCAAGACATGGCTGAAGATGTTGCTCCACCCCAAAGTGTGCCAAGCCAATGACCCCCCCCCACCGCAAGCTGCTTGCCTGACCCTTTAGGGGGAGTGCAGCCCCGCCCAAGCCAGTTCCACACCCCACAGGATTGCTCAGCAAATACCAACAATCCCACTTCTAGAAGCAGCGAGACTTAGGGCTTAACTTTTATTTTTTTAATGGGAATATTATAGTCTGTGAGAGTGAAATGTGCTAAAATATATGGTGATGGATGGGCGGGAATTGAACATAAGTCTGTTTGGATAGTCTGTTTCTACAGTGGTACTTTACCCCCTGCTTCCCCACCCCAAGCTAGTTTTATTCAGTGATGCTGCTGTAAATTTGTGGTTGGGATCAGAAGGCCTTCATAATTGTAGGAAGGCAAAGATTAGGTGAGGATTGTCTGATGTAGGCTTACGATTTAGAAGCAGCTATGCTCCATTTTTGCCAGATACCTGGAGGCAAGATGGAGCATGAACAGAGTGGTCCTCTGGTGCAAGACATTATAAGCAACAGCATTTGGAGACATAATTTGCTTCCACTGCAGCTAACTACCAGGTGCGTCTTTTTTTGCGAATCAGTGGTGGCTTCTTGGGAGTGGATGGTTGCTTCTTGGGAGCTTTGGGTGGTTTCGTGGGAACTGCAGGTGATTTTTGGGGAGCTTTGGGTGGTTTCTTGGGAGCTTTGGGTAGTTTCTTGGGAGCCTTGGGTGATTTCTTGGGAGCTTTGGGTGGTTTCTTGGGAGCTGGAGTTGATTTTTTGGGAACTAGAGGTGATTCCTTGGGAGTTTTGGGTGGTTTCTTGGGAGCTTTGGGTGGTTTCTTGGGAACTGGAGGTGATTTTTTGGGAACTGGAGGTGATTTTTTGGGAGCTTTGGGTAGTTTCTTGGGAGCCTTGGGTGATTTCTTGGGAGCTTTGGGTGGTTTCTTGGGAGTTGGAGTTGATTTTTTGGGAACTAGAGGTGATTCCTTGGGAGCCTTGGGTGATTTCTTGGGAGCTTTGGGTGGTTTCTTGGGAGCTGGAGTTGATTTTTTGGGAACCGGAGGTGGTTTCTTGGGAGTTTTGGGTGGTTTCTTGGGAGCTTTGGGTGGTTTCTTGGGAGCTGGAGTTGATTTTTTGGGAACTGGAGGTGGTTTCTTGGGAGTTTTGGGTGGTTTCTTGGGAGCTGGAGTTGGTTTTTTGGGAACTGGAGGTGATTCCTTGGGAGTTTTGGGTGGTTTCTTGGGAGCTTTAGGTGGTTTCTTGGTAGTGGGAGGTTTGAGAGTAGTGGGTGTTTCCTCAGGAGTTGTGAGTAGATTTTGGGGAGTGGGTGGCAACTTATTGGGAGCTGGGAGTGGTCTCTCAGCAACTGGAGGCAGTGTTTCAGGAGCTTCTTCAGGTGGCCTCTCAAGAGTTTCCTTCTTATTTGGAGGCATTTGGTATATTATGGAGCGTCTCCCTCCCATCGGATTGATTATCTTCATTGCCAGGTAGCCCTGAAGGGGGAAAAACAGGTAATAGCATCCCACCCAACTGTCCCAATTTTACTGGGATATCATGGATTTTCAGAAGCCACCTTGGCTTCTGAAAGTAATCCCATTTGTCCCATTTTGGGCACAGTACTATGGCTTCTGCCTGTGGCCCAGGCCACTATCTTTTCCAGAAGCATGCTGATGATGTGCTTCTGGCATGCTGTAGCCTCTGTTTCTACCACCCCATGGCCTTTGCCTGCAGCCACAGGCCGCAGTTGGCAGTGTGGGGAAAGGGACAGATAGCCAAGGTAAGGTGGGAGGGGGGCAAGTGGTGGTGGCAGGATGGGGGGAGGCTGATGTCCCAAATTCCTCTCGGGAAATGTTGCAGCATCAAGCAAAACTGTATTCTCAAAACAATGGACCACAACAGGCTTTCATTGCCTCCAGAGGCCCATTCCTACCGGCAGATGAGACCAGGTTTCAGATAAGCTGGAGAAGCTTTCCTGGACAATTACTTGAGGACACAGTGGAGGCCATGCCCTTGATGCCACATGGGAGGTGTGATTTTGCACTTTAATCACTGTTTGCTAGCCCTTGGAACAAGATCTATACCACCAGCACTATAGCAGTCATCTAGCCTGTTTCATTGCACACAACTCTGTAGAATACTGGGGGACATTGCAGGCTCCACAGTGCCGAAGAGGATACTCAGGAGTGATCATGTCAGTAGTCCTCTGCAATAGTTCTCTTCATTCCATAGTGAGACAACAGCCTCAGCAGGATCACCTGCTCTGTCCACCAGAAAGTGCCCCAGAGCATTCAGGAATCCACCAGAATCCGTAGCTCTCAGAGGGTGGAACACCTTAATTGCAGAGAGGGATAGCTGCTATGAGTCCAACCTTCATCAGGACGTGGTCCAACCATAATGATGGAATGACATACCCATTTCCAGATCACTTTTCATCCCTTTTGGAGCAAAGACCAAGTCAAGGGTAGGTCCTTTGTGCATTGGGTTGAAGATGACCTGAGACAGCACCATGGTTGCCATGGAATCCTGAACCAATGACCCAACGGCAGCATTGGCGTGAAAGTTGACGTCACCCAGAATTATCATCTGGGATTCCATCAGCACACTGCTCAAGACTACCTCAGCCAGCTTGGTCAGGGAGGATGTTGTTGGTGCTAGTACACCAACAGCACCCCTAAGTCTCTAAGCCCAACAGCACCCCTAAGTCTCTAAGCCCAACAGCACTCCTAAGTCTCTAAGCCCAAACATGAGATGCAGGCCCTGTAGTCCTGCTCTAAGGCAGAGAGATTTCCCACTGAGGACGAATGAAGCCTGGTGAACTACGGCAACCCCACTCCCAGACAGTCTAGCCTGGATTGATGCTGCACCTAGTGGGGCAGAGCTGGGTAAGATTTAGCAAGGTATGTGGCTGAGCCCAAGCTGCCTGATCCCCTTTGTTCTTCCTGAGCAGACTCACAGGAGCTGCGTAGATGAAGGCTGCGAACAGCAGAATCACCAGCACACAGCAAAGGAAAATCAAGAGCTTCCATTTGCTCTTCTGCCACACAACGAAGTGGATGCTCTTCAGCGGGGCTGTAAACCACAGGAAAGAGGTCTCCGGCCTCCTGGTCACGGGGAGAAGGAAGGGGCAAGAAAAGTTAACTGGATGTCTACAGCAGCTGTCTCCATCTTCCCTGGCTTAAGAACATGGGGCGCTGATGTACACTGAGTTAGACTGTTGGCCCACCTAGTTCGATATGGTATACATCAGGACCTCTGGGCCTCCAGATGTTGCTTAACTACAACTCCCATAATACCTGCCCATTAGCCACATTTGCCTGGGGTGTGGGAGTTGTACTTCAGCAACACCTGGAAGGCCAAAGGTTCCCTTCAAGTGTTTGACGCCGACTGGCAGCAGCTCTCTAGGGTTTCAGGCAGGGGGTCCCCCAGCAGGGGTGCCAGCTTGAATAAAACAACAATTTTAAAGTCAAAGACACAAAACAGTTATAAACAGTTACACCTGTAAAAACAATGCAAACATATAAAAACTATACCATGTAGTTTCTATATGTTTGCATATAAAAACGGGATACCAAGCAGTATCCAGAACATCTTAACATCGCTCTTGTGGAAAATTCAAAGGGTGGCTGCACCTAGGTGCCCAGTGCTGCTTAGAGCGGTACCAGTATAGCTAGGAAAGGTCCTCAGGGCCCACACAGATGCCAGGCAGGCATGGGCAGGGAGAGTGCCAGAGGGCACAGTGCTCAGAGCAGGCTAGCCAAACTGGGTGCATGTGGCTTAATTGGTGTAGCTCTCATACAGAAGCCGCCCAGCCACCAAATCTTTGCCACAGCCTTTGCCAACCTGGTGCTCTCCAGATGTTTTGGACTGCAGTTCTCATCAGCCCCAGCCAAGCACAGGGCTGATGGGAGCTATAGCCCCAAACACCTGCAAGGTACTAGATTGGCAAAGGCTTCCTTCTTGACACAGTGACATCCCCTTCCCCATTTCTACCTCCCCAGTAGTTCATGCAGCAGGGGGCACCCAGGCGCTGCAGTCTTACTCTGGTGGCTTCAGAACTGGGTTCATGTTGGGCTCCTCTCTTCCTTTCCCAGCTGGCCGCTCTTCAGCCTCCTTTTCTGTCAGCAGCTCCAAGGACATTTCCACCTTGCCCTAAGAGAACGAGAGAGGATGGGCTGAGGGGTTTCCAGGGTGGTATTCAATGGAAAAGAGCAACGACTCAAAATTGCCAAGTGTAACTTCTACTTTCTCCCCACTCCCAACTGACTGGAGAAACCTGTGGATCAGATTTAGGTGGTGGTGGTGGGAGGGCAGGGAATGGGGGTGTTAAATTGCATAGCTGAAAGTCATTACATTAGTGTAACTCCTCAACTCAATACCCAATGTATGCATATTTTTCAATATATGGGGGTGGTTCTTCTGTTCATTGGGGTATCTTCTCTTCCAGCAATTGCATAGAGCGGTGTGTCTGTAGTGCCACCATTCTTAATTTGGCATCTCCTGTTAGTCCTGTTCAAGGCATGCCCAGCCTTGAATACTTGGAGGGAAGGAAATGTGGAGAATGGGACACATGGTACATTTGGAAAACCTTTTGCTACGGCAGAGCTGGGAAGGGTTAGAAAAGGCCCAGAACAAGACAGGCAGAGGCTCCACCCACCAGCCCCAGCCAACATGGCTGTTTTTCACAGACCAAAACTTCTGAAAGGCTGGCTTAGGAGGTCATGAAGTGAACTCCTCCACTCCCTTCTGTTCTATTTGCTATTCTTAGCCCCCAGACCCAAGTCCCAACATGCAGAGGTGTGGTAGATCTGGCCTATGATGCCTTACGGACCGACACGCGAGGCTTGTCTTTCTCAAAGACGATGCAGGGCCACCATCCCCTCATTTCCCTCTGCTTGAACAGGGAGACAGGTTTCCGTTTGCGGCGATGGAAAAAAGAGGTGGAGGTGGTGGCACCGGTGTCCTCCAGCAGCATCTTCACAGTGCAGTCGCGGGGACGCTTGGCGGGTTGAGGCATGCAGTTCAGGTTCAGCTCCAGGATTCCTGCAAGTGGAACCGAGTGCTCAGTCTCCATGCTTTGTGAAGGACAGGGACAGATGGCATGTTTGATGGCAAGGGAACCTCAGGCCTGGGGGGAAATGCAGCCCTCCATCTGGACTCTCTTCAGGCCGCATCCTGGCCACAGCCACAGCCACACTCCCCAGGCCACACCCTGCACCCTCCATGAGTGTTTTTGCCTGGTGTCAGGAGCAAACCAACAATAAATCACACTGTGCAAGTTGAAGCTAACTTTTTATTTGGAAGAACATGATCTGCACAGACTTGGTGGCGTATCAAGCCTAATGAGCACAGCAGCCCGTCCCTGGTAGGTCTTGCCCCATAGTTCAGTTGCCAAGACTGAAAGTCCATCCGTACCCCCCCCCAACTGAGTACCCTCCTCTCCAAGGTTTTTCTCAAGCATTTAGAGACTCTGCCTGCATGCAGCCAACCTCTCCTCCACCCTTTTCATGCATCTTCTGCTTCTGGGAGACCAGGCGGGAGAAGAGCTTATCTCAGCAGAAGGGAGAGACCCCCTTGCTTCTTCAGCAACCTGACTTCTCTGCCTCTTGGCCTCCCTCCTCCTCTGCTGCAGCTCTTGCCTCTGATTCTGGACTTCTGTCTGCCATAGACTCCCTCCAGCTCACTAAGCCCTGTTACCTCTCCAGCTTCCGACACCTGATCCCCCCAGTCTTCTCCCTCATCTCCCTCTGACCACCCATCGCTGTCCCACCACCCCTCCCTGGGCTCTGAGCCTTCTTCCCTTGGAGGTTCCCTCAGATGGTTCCTCCCACTGCATCCAACCAGTCCATGATACCTGACTAAAATGCAACTAGTTTCTTTGTTAATGCTTCTTGCATCTCTGGGTGGAGGATAGTGTGCATGTGCACAGGGAACCTCGCCGACTGTACAAGGCAAAATACAAAGCTATGGCTTTGCCCACAGTTGGCTCTGGCCCTGCCTGCCACTTGCATGTGGCCCCTGGGAGGCTGCCCAGAAGGGAAAGCGGTTCTCAGGGTGAAGAAGCTTCCCCACCCTGAAATAGGACATGGGGTGAAAAGCCTTGTCTTGCCCCCCAGGTTCAGGATTCTTTTTACCTATAAAGTCGTCAGCTGAGAACTTGTCATTGTCCCAGATCTGGATGATGAGCTTGGGGGGCACTTTCTGCATGGTCTCGTCAAGGCTCCAGAAATGTTGCTGCAAACAGGGTAGAAGAAGGGCTGTTGAAATGGGAGACGCAGGACAGGCGTCAAGGCAGACCTGCTCAAGTCAGGACCAGCTCCACCACACCTGGGAGCTGGCGCCGAAGCTGTGGGGCAGGAGAACAGAGGGGGGCAAGCAAGACAACCAGGGGCTGGAAACCAAGCCTTATGAGGAACGGTTGAGGGAACTGGGCATGCATAACCTGGTAAAGAAGAGAGTGAAAGGAGATATGATAGCCATCTATCTAAAGGGCTGTCACATGGAAGGGGGAACAGGCTTGTTTTCTCTGACTCTGGAGGGTAGGTCTCAAACCAATGGCTTCAAGTGACAAGAAAGGAGATCTTGACTAAACACTTTCTTGACAGTAAGAGCTGTTTGACCGTGGAACTGTCTCCCTCGGGAGGTGGAGGACTCTCCTTCCTTAGAGGTGTTTAAGCCAAGGTGGATGACCACCTGTCATGTATAATCTCGTTGAGATTCCTGCATTGCAGAGGGTTGGACTAGATGGCCCTCAATGTCCCTCCCAACTCTACAATTCTATGATTCTATAATTAACAGCATGAAACTGCTTTCCAGAGAAAGGAGTGTGGTAAAACACTTGACACTAGGTGGCAGCACCAACTTGGAGTATTCTTTTCAAGTTTATTAGCTAGATAAGCCGGCCAGTTGCTCCAGGGCTATTCACTGGAGGAAGCACATTGGGCCCCCTGACTATTTTCACAGAAATTTAGATGAACCATCATTAAGCTGACCAGGGACATGGATCATATTCCTGGTGATGAAGCAAGTTTTTAGTTTGCTTGCAACAAAAACGACCGCTGTGTGTTGGGCTGGGATGACTCTAAAAATTCACAAGTGACAAGCCAAATAAACAACAACAACAGTATTAAAGTAAACTGATGAAATGGGGAGGGAATTGTTTCAAGATGAAGCAACAAGGGGGAAATGTGCATTGTGAAAAATTACCTAAGGCCCATGCCGCTGCTGCTGCTGCCAGATTTCGATCTGTGGCCTGGGACTATTGGGAAAGAAGGAATTGGCAACAGCAAGCAGAATGGAATCTTACTTTTGATGATATGTGCAGCGCACAATGTTGTTATTACCAACACACTCGTTCAACAACAACAACAACAACAAATTTAAAACATCTTGGAGGCATCCTTGGTCAAACCACTGGCACCTCTTAGACTATGTTATTGTCTGTGCTAAAGATCGCCATGATGTGCTCCTTAGCAGAGCTATGACGAGTGCTGGCGACTGCTGGACAGATCACTGACTAATACGCTCCACGATGGCTATCAAGATTATACCTCAACGCAGGCTTCAAGGAAGGAAGCCAAGGCGCAAAATGAACACTCAAGCCCTTCAAGATCTCATTAAGTGGGACTGCTTCCAGACAACTCTTAAGGACCATCTGCTTTCAGAATTCCCTGATAACATTGAGGAACACTGGACCAAGCTAAAAACATCCATTATTGCCGCCTGTGAACAAACTATCGGATACCAAACCGAAACACCAGGACTGGTTTGATGGGAATGACAGTGAGATTGAACGCATGTTTGACAAGAAAAGGAAGGCCTTTCAAATCTGGCAAAGAGATAGAAACTGTGGCACTAAGAAAAAAACCTATGCCAATGCTAAGGCTGAGGTTCAAAGAAGAACCAGAGAACTACAAAACACCTCGCGGATTAAAAAAAAAAAAAGCTCAGGAGATCCAGCACTTAGCCGACACTCATGATACACAGAGTTTCTTTAAAGCCACAAAGACCATCTATGGGCCAGTAAATCATGGCATATGCCCCCTACACTCAACAGATAAAGAAAGATAAAGAAACTATTGCCTTGTGCTGGAAATAACATTACCAGCATCTCCTTAACCGTAACTTCCCAAATTCCACAAAAAACAAATTAGAGATGAGCTTGCAGTATTTCCAAATCTGGGTGAGTTATGTACAGCTAGTAACCAAAGAAAAACAACAAAGCCAGTGGACCTGATGGGATACCTGCTGAAGTCTTCAAAGTGGGTGGAATTGAACTTACGCAACAACTTCACAAGCTCATCGAAAAAATGTGACAGAACTGATTGCAGAAACTATTGCGGCATCTCTCTGTTAGCTGCAGCCGGCAAAATTCTTGCAAGGATCTTAGCAAACCATCTCTTAACAATATCTGAGGTGACCCTTCCTGAATCCCAAAATGGTTTTAGACCTTTTAGGGGGACAGTGGACATGATTTACACTGCTCAACAGCTTCAAGAAAAATGCAGAGAGCAAAACCAACCCATGTATATGGCATTTATTGACCTGACTAAGGCCTTCAACATTGTAAATAGCAATGCAATTTGGACTGTGGACTGTCCTTCTGAAAATTGGCTGCCCAGATAAATTTGTGAATATCATTCAGCTCCTCCATGATAAGGGAGAAATGTGCTAAGAGGAAGGCACATTTGGCAAACCCTCATTGTGATCTACTCCTGCCCAGAAACCTATGTCCACACTGTGGAAGGACGTGCGGATCCAGAATTGGCCTCCACAGTCACAGACTCATTGTTAAAACCGTGTTCATGGAAGACAATCCTACTCGGCTACCAGGGATCGCCGAAGACGAAGAAGAAGGAGGAGGAGGAGGAGCTTTCCATATAAAGTGCTTTGTGGGACTGGAGCATCCCCAGAGACAGAGCCCCTGTGTTTCATGAGGCAGCTCCAGATTCTCAGCAGTAGCTAATGGGAAAGATCCCCTGTCTGCCAGGGAACCCAGAGAGCTCTTGCCACTCAATGCAGATCAGGGCCAAATTCCTTAAAAATCAGTCTATTTTTGGGTGTGTGTGTGTTAGAATATGTCATATGAAAGCCAATGTTATTATTCCACACTTTCCAGGGCATTTTCCTGTCACTTCCTTTATTGCAAAAAGCCTGATCTTTTGGGGGAAGTGGTTTTATTTACTTATTTGTTGCATGGGACCTCCTAATCAGCTGTGATTGCTGCTACATGATTGAAACCCACTAGAAAATAGCAACAGCCTGGAAGTGCCTTGCATCTGAGAACTATAAGTGCTATTAAATTTACATGGACTAAGTGTGCCAGAATATGAATGAGAGTATCCATTAAAATGATGTGTGCACCACAGAGAGCTGCGTGCCTGTCAATGTGCCTCTGATTATCCTCCAGCAGATGATATGCAGAGAGATATTTTCTGTGAACCACCCTGAGACCTCCAGGTATAGGGCAGTATATAAATTCAAGAAATAATAATATAATCATAATCTCTTGAGTTGGATTTGTGAGATGGAGGATAGGAAGGCTTTGCTGGTTGTCCATACACAACCCTCCTTCCTTCCTTCATTCATTCATTCAAGTTTAACAAAATTTATGTACTACTTAGTCAAAACAAATAATAATCAAAGCAGTTTGCATAAATGAATATAAAATATTCACAAGAAAACACCAATAAAATAATCTGATTTTAAAAACAAATAGAAATATTAAAATGTTAAAATGGGAGAAAAAACCTACATACTATAAATTTTCATATCTGTCTAGGCGTGGCCTATGCAAAAACGATTTTTTAAAGCTGGTATCAACTAGAGTGCAGCAAAGGTGCCTACAGAGAGTACGAAAGAACAGGTGCTGCCACACATTAAGAGATTGATTCCTTGCAAGTGCAGAGCAGGCATGATATGTCAATTGTAAAGGTGCCAGTTCTGGCAGTCCACGTGGTTGAGGGCGCTCCTATGGGGTAAGGTAAGCTTTGAGGAAGCCAAGGCCACCTCCCTTTTTCTAAATTGGAGCAATGCTCTGTTTCAGTTTCCACCTACCTTCTTGGTGAGAACGCAGACCTGCTCCATGGGCAGGTACTCCAAGGTAAACACAAAGCGCCAGTTGAAGTTGCCTTCTCCTGTCAGGGACCTATAATGGATATCTGTCTTCTGCTTGTCCTCCTCCAGGCCATCCATCCACCTGGAACCAGGGCAAAGGAGATGCTGGAGTTGTTCATAGGAACTCTTTTGCCCCATCCCAGATTCTAGGGCACACTTGGGTACATTGGCAATAAAAAGCTGCATCATCTAGTCCCGCTGGCAGCTTTGGGAGAGATGTCCCTCTTCCTCCATGACCCTTAGGCAAGGGACAGGCGGGAGCTGAATGCAGAGCAAAAAGTCCAGGTTCCCCTGACATCTCTGCTGCTGGAGTGTATCCTCCAGCCCAATCTTCCCCAACCTGAGGCCTTCTGAATCTTTTGGACTCCCATCAGCCTCAGCAACACAAGGCCATACAGGCTGGTGATGATGGGAGTTGCATTCCAGAACATCTAGAGGACACTAGGTTGGCAAAGGCTATTTTTCACCCCTTTAAGGTGCCAGAAAACCCATCTTTTATTTCTTGCATTAGACTATTGGGGCAACCCTTTTTGAAGGCTGATGGGAGTTGCAGTTCAGCTACAAATGTGGCAGAGGAGCAAAGGTTCTCTATACCAGGAGACGGAGAAAGTTCTGGCGCACAAGTTGATGCAGAAGCACCAGCCAAATATTTAGCTACTAGTCTCTCCTTTGTGAACTGCTGCTTCATTTGATTGTTGTGAACCACCTTGGTTCTTTGGGGAAAAGCAACACAATTGATGAATGAATTCATGAATGGTTTTGTTATGCAAATGGGGCTATAACAGTTTGGGAATCATGGAGCTGACACCTCAAAGGAAATATGGCTAGGGCTGGTAGATAGCTCTCCATCTGCAAATAAGACCAGTTGTTGGTCACTTGCCACCACAGGAGTTGGGCTGCCATAAACCTTCTGCCTCTGTTCTCTTGTACCCTTTCACATAGATGTCACTCATCCTGTCTCCAAAAATGTTGGTGTCTTCCAGATCCACATCTTTGGTGTTCCAGATGATGCAGCGAAGTTCGTGCCTACAGAGACAAACAGGAGAGTCTTGGTGCTACTGGGAGGGTGCTTTAAGGGATTCCTCTTCCTGCTATATACAAGAACAGGGCAGGCTAACAAGGACTTTTACAGGAAAACTTTCTGTGCAACCCCGCTCCAGTCCAGTGTGGAGATGCCAGTGGGGTCTGGAGCTGGAACCTTCTGAATGCAAAGCAAATGCTCTGGCATTGAGTTGCAGCCCTTCCCTAAGAGCAGGGGCGCCACCAGTAGATGCCTTTGTGAACCAGCTTCCCCCTTGTGTCCTGCTCTGGGATTAGAAACAATGACAAGTATGCAACAGCGGACACGGGGTGGTCAGATCCAGCATCCACGTCCACCTGCACCCCGACACTCTCATTCAACCATCCTGAAAACGTGCAAATAGCTCTGGGTCTTCAAAAGGGTTGGGGTGGCTGTGTTTGGTGCACCTACTTCTTGGGCTTCCTTGGGGTGATGTCAAAAGGAGGTCCTGGCTCACCTATGTTTTCTGGGAAGATGTCGACCCACATCTGCACTTTCCCCTGGATATGAAGAGAGGCACATTCTTAATGTTTTTCAGTTGGTACTTCAGTGATGTACACAAAGTATAGTCACAAAACAGACAGTGAACATAACAAGGGATAAAAAACAACAACCACATCCTCCTCCCTATGCAAGTAATTGTATTCTCATGTATACTCTCTGTTGCCTATTTCATTCATTTTCTCTGCTGTTCTTGCAGGGACCTTACAGAGCATATTGCCAGGATAATGTCACCATTTTAACTGGCCAGAAGAGACTGAGATGTCCAAGGACAAAGTTAGGAGCGGAAACATAACAATGACATCCAGATTTGTGCTGATGCTGGTGACAAGGTGTTTTGTAAACCTGATATGTTGGCCTATGTAATAAACTGCCACCAAACAGCCTGCAATGCAGCTGGTTTCTTTTTCCCTTTCAAGATTGCTACATCACATCTTATTTCTTCAGCAATTGCTAACTTCTAGACTTTCTTAAGCCACAATTCTAGTTCAGTGCCCTGCGGGGTCCTCCAGGTTTGGGCTATAGGGCACAAGATTTATAAAGGAGTCTGCAAATTCAGACCTGCAGGCAAGAAGGCTGGTCTTTCTTTCCAATTCCAGTGTGTGCCACTCTGCTTCAAAAGAAAGGTTCCATTTCATCTACCAGCACCTATTTAGGATATTACAGTACTTCAGCTTGTCTGAAATGTCTCCTGGGGGTCAGTGCCAAACTTATCCTTGCCTCCTGCAGCCAAATCAGGAGGAAATGGGTCTGGGGCAGGAGTATTTAGGGTAACATCTACTACACTGAAACCAGCTTCAACTCTCACCCAAAGAACCCCGGGAATTGTAGTTCTGTTGGATGACGGATTTCTCACAAAACTATAATTTAGAGTAATCCATGACATATACTGGGTTCAACCAGATGTAGATTTTCTTGGGCACCATTAAAATTGCTGGTTGTGAGGCAAAATGGCCTGGGACCATCTTGGCTGAAGGATCAAGTTCTCCTGCACAAACCAACCCAAGTCTTGAGATCTTCTTGAAAGGTCCCCATCTCAGTCCTGCCTAAGGCATCTAGATAGCATCTAAACATACTGTCTAAGGCAGTGTTTCCCAACCGGTGTTCCGCGGCACACCAGTGTGCCGTGAGACCTTGCCTGGTGTGCCGTGGGAGGGAGGCGGGAGAGGCGGGGCGGCGCGGCGCCCGAGATCGCTTCTCCCCACCGCCCCTTGCTTCAAAAGAGGTCCGGGGACAGCGGGAAGCGCTTCGCGCTGCCCCCGGACCTCTTTTGAAGCAAGGGGCTGCGGGGAGATCGCTTCTCCCGGTGCTCCGAAGCGGGGCGGGGGGCGGGAACCTGCAGCGCGGAGCGCGGGGCGCCCTTTGGAAGACGCCCCGTGCTTCGCGCAGCTGTCCGCAAGCCTTGGGCGCCTGGGGGAACTCCCCCCCCGGCGCGCAAGGCTTGCGGGCGGCAGCCTGCAGCGCGGAGCGCGGGGCGCCCTTTGGAGGACGCCCCGTGCTTCGCGCAGCTGTCCGCAAGCCTTGGGCGCCTGGGGGAACTCCCCCCCGGCGCGCAAGGCTTGCGGCGGCAGCCTGCAGCGCGGAGCGCGGGGCGCCCTTTGGAGGACGCCCCGTGCTTCGCGCAGCTGTCCGCAAGCCTTGGGCGCCTGGGGGAACTCCCCCCCCGGCGCGCAAGGCTTGCGGGCGGCAGCCTGCAGCGCGGAGCGCGGGGCGCCCTTTGGAGGACGCCCCGTGCTTCGCGCAGCTGTCCGCAAGCCTTGGGCGCCTGGGGGAACTCCCCCCCCCGGCGCGCAAGGCTTGCGGCGGCAGCCTGCAGCGCGGAGCGCGGGGCGTCCTTCGGAGGACGCCCCGTTCTTCGCGCAGCTGTCCGCAAGCCTTGCGCGCCCAGGGGAACTCCCCCCCGCGTGCACGGCTTGCGGGCGGCAGCCAGCAGCGCGGAGCACGGGGCGCCCTCCGTAGGAGGCTGCGGAGGGTGGCGCGGAGCTGCCCGCGCTCCAGGGCTTCTTGCAGCTCCGCGCCACCCCCGGATCCCGGTGCGAAGCCGCGCGGGGCTGCGGAGGGTGGCACGGAGCTGCCTGCGCTCCAGGGCTTCTTGCAGCTCCGCGCCACCCCCCCCCATCCCGGCGCGAAGCCGCGCGGGGCTGCGGAGGGTGGTGCGAAGCTGCCTGCGCTCCAGGGCTTCTTGCAGCTCCGCGCCACCCCCCGGATCCCAGCGCGAAGCCGCACGGGGCTCTGGAGGGTAGTGCAGAGCTGCCTGCATCCCGAAGCCTGGTGCGCGCTGAAGAGCGCCCCCGGGCTTCACGCACCTCTCCGCAAGCCTGGGGAGACCAGTGTGGCTCCCTAGGCTTGCGGATATCAGGCTGTTCTGGGGGCTGGGGTCGGGGGAAGCTTGGGTTTCCCCCGCGCCTGCCCCGTGCCTGGGGAGGGGAAAATTTTCTTTTTCTTTATTCTCCCCCCAAAAAATTAGGTGCGTCTTATGGGGCGGTGCGTCCTATGGGGCGAAAAATATGGTAGTCAATATAGGCACAGAGTTAAATTTTTTAACATTTTCTAATGGTGGTGTGCCTCGAGATTTTTTTCACGAAACAAGTGTGCCTTTGCCCAAAAAAGGTTGGGAAACACTGGTCTAAGGCATGTTTGGCAAGGGTGCAATGAGAGGCCTTCCTCACTCACTGGCTGGGCCTTACCTCTGGGATTCTCTCCTTAGGGTCTCTGCAGAAGACCTATTTATCAGGCATCCATCCTGATCCTCCTGCACAAAGCTTATGTGGAAATTTGGTTTTGGTTTGTCAAGCTGCCTTGGCTTTTTAAATGCATGGCTTACTTTAATATCCTTTAACAGGGCAGTTCTTGTTGGTTTCACCTGTTCTTATCATCACACACTTTTAAAAATGGGTTTATAGCATTTTTAAAAATCATAACCATCGTCACTTGGTAAGCCACTTTGAATGCTTTGCATAGAATGGTTGGATATATATTGCAATTATAATAAATGAACAGTAAGTCAGACCTGCAGGAAAATCTTGCTGACAGATGTGCTTCTGTTCAGATTTCCAGCCAGCCACCCCTTTTACAGGATACTATTCTTTTCTGTCCCTCCATCAACTCCCAGCATTCTGGGGTTTAGCCAACCAACTTCTACTCAGTGAGACCCGTTGAAATTAATGAACATAATGAACATGCCTATTAATTTCAATGGGTCTACGCTGAGCACTACTGGCATTGGACACAGTCTTTGCCCGCTGAGCATGCTCAGTCCTTACTGTGTTGTTTTGGAGATTCCTTGCCCCCGATCCTTGGGATTAAGTGCTCTTTTGAGTGGATGGTACTGTTTGGGCTACGTAAGTGTCAGCTCTTGGAGAATGAGTTTGCTGTAGTTTTATGTAGGATAAATGAACATGTCAGCCAAGTGTGTAGCTGCTCTAAGCTACACACTTAAGGGGAGCCAGGCTACTGGGGCAAATAGTGAAGCTTCTCTCTTCCAGCAACCACCCAATGCGTGGGCTCAGCAGCAGCTAACCTGGCACCCTTCAGCAGTTGTCAGGGATGGTGGGAGCTGCAGTTCACAGCAACTGGCTACTCCTGGTGCAGTGGGGAAATGGAAGCAGGAAATTTACCTGCTGGATCCCAGGATTGGTAGCGCTGTAGATGCCACGAGTCTCCACGTGTTCAGGCACCAGCCCACAGGTGTGGAGGAGATGGAGAGCCATGCGCTCTTTTGGAGGCCCCAGGAAGCCATGTGAAGGTAGTTTAGTCTCTGAAAGGGGAGTGTCAAGTACAACAGAATCAGCACTTATTCAGCCAAATGTATCACAGGAGAGTGAGACTTCCATGCAGGGCAAAGGGGGCCACAATTACAAATAAAATTCTGCTCCAATGCAGCCTGTGTTCTACAATTTATACACATTGTGCAACATGAGCACATTTGCAGAGTGCTTCTTCTGGGGGAGCATTTTTCCTTGCATTATGCTCTTCCCATAAACCTTTGTGGGGATTTATTGGGTGGGGATTTATTGGATTTTATTTTATTTTATTTTAATTTAATTATTATTATTATTATTATTATTATTATTATTATTATTATTATTATCATTATTATCATTATTATCTTTGCTTGTTTGTTTATTCTGATTTTATGTTGTAACCACCCTAAGGCCTGTGGGTATATGGCAGTATACAAATGTTAATAATAATAATAATAATAATAATAATAATAATAATAATTTGCTGCTTGGTGAATGTCAGACAAACCATGGTTAAGGACAGGTGCTGGGTTCACATATAATACCAAGCTATAAATAAAATAAACCATGGGCTGAAAGCCACCAAATATCCATGGCTTCAGATCATGCTTTGTTGGCAATAAACAAACCATTTTGTGAAGTCATTGGGCAGAGTTAACGCATGGCAGAGTTAAGGCATAGATTAACAAACTATAGTTTAATTAATCTTCCTTTAGCATTAAATATGTGCCAAACCATTGCTCTCACACCCAGAGAGGACAGGTGAGCAGGAAGGAACAACGAGGAGGAGGAACAGCAAGCCAGAGCTTCAAAGGATTGGCAGTGGGCTCCCTTTTAGCAGGTGCTTAGTGATACCAGTCGCGGGTGGCGCTGTGGGTAAAAGCCTCAGCGCCTAGGGCTTGCCGATCGAAAGGTCGGCGGTTCAAATCCCCACGGCGGGGTGCGCTCCCGTTGCTCGGTCCCAGCGCCTGCCAACCTAGCAGTTCGAAAGCACCCCCGGGTGCAAGTAGATAAATAGGGACCGCTTACCAGCGGGAAGGTAAACGGCGTTTCCGTGTGCTGCGCTGGCTCGCCAGAGCAGCGATGTCACGCTGGCCACGTGACCCGGAAGTGTCTCCGGACAGCGCTGGCCCCCGGCCTCTTGAGTGAGATGGGTGCACAACCCTAGAGTCTGTCAAGACTGGCCCGTACGGGCAGGGGTACCTTTACCTTTTATAGTGATACCAGTGGCTGGTGCTGACCTCAGGCTCAACTTTCAGAGCAGCTCAAGCCCCCTTCTCTCTTGCTCCGTGGGAATATTTTGAAGTACTTACCAAAGTCAGACAGCTCATAAATCTTGCTTCGGAAAGTGGCTCTGCTGCCATCTTCACTTATATCCGGCTGAGGTATGTTCTTGGTCCGAGCATAATTCTCCAAGAGCTGGCTTGGAAGAAGCTGGTCTCGCCACTGGGTGGGGCCACATCTGTACGAGAAAGGAGCGATCAGGAGGTCAAGTGGCATCTGCAGGGGGCGCTACCTGAGGGATTTACTTTCTCCTTGACTGCAGAAAATGTTTATTTCATGAACTGGTGTAATGCCCTAAAAAAATGTCTACAGGGCAATGATTTTTCTGCTCTGTTGGGTAGAAAGATTAGCTAATTGTTCATTTTCATTTCACCTACTTCATTCCTATCTCTGGAAAAGTAAATAGAGACTTTAAAGAGAAGGAACTTGTTAAGCTAATATTAATATTGCTTGCTAAAATGGTAAGATGAACACATAGTGGAAATATTTCTGGTGCTTCAGGGCAGTTATATTGTGGATCTCAGAGAGAAGACAAACGTGACCTAAAAACCGAGTGTTTTGTTGATGAAACATTGATATGTAGCTTATGAAATGACCACTGGCAGTTCATTAGTTAAGGCTGGTGCTCCTGCCCTGCCAGGGGACGTGGCAATGACACTGCTGTTGGGGAAGGCATCTCTGTGGGGCTGCCCCCTTGAACTGGCTGCTCCCAGCTCTTGCAGCAAAACCATGGGCTCTGACAATGAGCCCATCTGAAGCAGCTGCCTGAGTGAGTCCAAAAGGCACCTGCTTAACACCTATGCTCATTGCTACTTACACGCAGTAGGACTGTGGAAGGCCACAGTTGGCTCCATAGCGGGACAGGATCCGGTCCTCCAGGTCAATGGTGGTGTCTCCAATTACATCATCAGGGGAAAACATGTCAAAGTCATAGAATGAGATCTTCAATTCCTTTTCTGTTGGGATGTTGCACATAATCTCAAACATCCTGTGGCGGTCAAGGAAAAGAGTAGAGGAATAAATAAATATGTATGTATGCCACTACTGCGGCCCGCGTTTTCTTAGCTCAAAAATGGAAAATGAGTGAGGTCCCAACTAAAGAAGAATGGAAAGCATAAGCTGATGGAATATGTGCAGCTTGCGAACCTAACATAGAATAAGAGAACAAGAAGAACATACATTTAGAGAAGATTCAAAAATATTCATTGAATATATGGGGGGAAATTGTGTACACTTGAAAACGTTAGCAGCATTAAGATAAATTCAACAGTGTAAATAAGTTTTGATGGGTGTAATAATGGAATACTGAATGGTTTATAGTTTACGTAAAATATGTGGTGCTGTGGGTTAAACCACAGAGCCTAGGACTTGCCGATCAGAAGGTCGGCGGTTCGAATCCCCGCGACGGGGTGAGCTCCCATTGCTTGGTCCCTGCTCCTGCCAACCTAGCAGTCTGAAAGCACTTCAAAGTGCAAGTAGATAAATAGGTATCGCTCTGGCAGGAAGGTAAATGGCGTTTCCGCACGCTGCTCTGGTTTGCCAGAAGCAACTTAGTCATGCTGGCCACATGACCCGGAAGCTGTACGCCGGCTCCCTTGGCCAATAAAGCGAGATGAGCGCCACAACCCCAGAGTCGGTCATGACTGGACCTAATGGTCAGGGGTCCCTTTACCTTTAAAATATGTAGGGATTTATGGTATGCAAAATGAACCATAAAAGAAGAAGAGAAGTCATTGATATTTTAAGGATGTTTAAATGTGCATTTAAAATTGTAAAACAGAAAATTTAATAAAAATTATATATAAAAAACGGAAGAGAGGAGAGGAAATAATCCCATTCCCTTCTGACATCTGAACGCTTGTTGTGCTCTGTATATTCCAAGGATAAGTCATGGTAGGGATGCACCTGTGTCTTAACAACCCTCTCCTATCCCAGTAGCTTCCTGCCCTGCCCTGCCCTGTACCAGAGGTGGGGACAGCATCCACAGGATGTGCACAAAGAGATTAGCCTTAGCAGACAGAGGCTCTGAGGGAGAAGTGTGCCAGACCTACCTCCCAAAGACGGGCTCCAGAGTGTTGGGAATATACTCCTCCCTCTCTCCAACCTTTTTCTTCCCTACCTTGATTTTGACATAGGGGTCACACTGTAAGGGGACACAGTTCAATGCAGAATGTTAGGAGACCAGACCCTCAAACGGGGCCCAGCCACACCTGCTGCAGAGGAAGCCTCCTATCACATAACACAGGGAAGCTCAGAGCAGGAAGCAGTAACCGCAGACAAGCAAAAGAACAAAGCTGTTGTGATTACCAGACCATTGCTGTCCTTTGGCTCTAGGTTAAAGGCTCGGATGATGTAAATCCGGACCAGACATGACTCGCAGACGTTGTCAGGAAGTTCCTGGAATTGGCGTGGAGGGGGTGGGACATTGGGATCTTCTGGTAAAGGATAGATCCGGAAAAGTCCCTGCAGGAGAAAGCACTGTTTCATTTAGTTACCAACTCCACTGCCCCCACCCCAGAAGTAGCAGCTGGCAAGGCCACATTGTTCTCCTGGCTGCCCAATGCTCTGTGTCAATGCTCATTGCTTTGTGCTGCTGTGCCTGTTCCATGCTGAGCGCCCTACACCCCCCCCCCAGCCGCTACTGCCTGGAAAGGCTTCAAGAATACAGCTTTTTGTTCCTCTAAGCTGCCATAATCTCTCCCCTGCAGATTTCCTGCTTCTCATGCAGATGCCAAGAGACCAAGAAGCCTTGCACAAAGAAAACTGGACTCTAGTCCATGGAAGTGTACGCCACGACAATTTGTTTGCCTCTAAGGCACCAAAGACGCTGTGCTGCTTTTGCTGCAACACTGGCTAGTGAGGCTACTCCTGGGGAGGAAACCCCCATGCAAAACTTGGCAACTCTGCTTCTGAAGACTGTATGTTGTTTAATATACATCTGAAGCAGAGTGGGAAGTCAGTCTCCTGAAAACAGTCTCCAGGGTGGAGTGTCTGTGGATTTTTATAGATGGCTAGAAAGCAGGGCCACTTGGGGCAGGCCCTCACCTTGAACTGACCCCCCACTCTGGGGTCGTCATCTTTCACCAGCCCTCGGTGCAGCTGAAAGGTCTGGCAGAAATCCTGTAGGCCATGGAATTCAGGCACTTCTTCCAGTTCACAGCTATACATCTGGGAGAAGGAGACACAGACATTGGCTTAGCACCTTGGCTGGGCTCCCTGCAGCGTGTGCACCTGCTCAGTGCTTCAGCCATCTTTCCCCTGGCATTGAGTTAAATTCATTTTCTTACATTTAAGAACATCAGAATGTAAGAGTCTTCTGGGTCAGGTCCATCAGCCTGTTCTCACAGTGGCCAGCCAGAAGCCCGTGGGAAACCTGCCAGCACAAGAGCATCCCACACGAGGTCCAGCAACTGGTATTCAGAAGCAACTGGGATTCTGCCTCTTGACTGTAGAGGCAGAACACAGCCATCATCGCTAGCCCCCTCCGCCATCTTTTAAATCCATCCAGATTGGTGGCCATCGCTGCCTCTTGTGGGAGTGAACTTTAAAGTTTAACTATGCAATGTGTGAAGAAATACATTCATTTGTCTGTCCTGAATCTTTCAACTTTCAGCTTCCTTCAACATCCCTGAGTTCTCGTATTATGAGAGGGAGAAATACCTTTCTCTAGCCACTTTCTCCCCAGCACCCACAATTTTATACACCTCTATCATGTATCTTCTTACTTCCCTTTTCTTTAAACTAAAAAGACCCAGATGGGTATTTTGTGTCCCTTTTCTAAATATTTTCCAACTCAACAATATCCATTTTGAGTTGAGGCATCCAGAACTGTACACTGTACTCCAAGTGTGGTTGCATCATAGATTGGCATCATGGCATCATGATATTGGCAGTTTTATTTTCAATTCCTTCCCTAATGATCCCTATGTGCATCATTCACTCTTGTTTACACAGAATGGCAGCGTTTGCCATTTTGCTGCCCATTCATTCAGTTTGGAGAGATCCTTTTGGAGTTCTTCACAATCCTTTTTGCTTTAATAACCCCAAAAACAACAACTAGATCCCTTCATTATCTCTACAAACATGAGTTTGGGGACAGATGTTAGTTGAGGAAACCTGCCGTTCTGCCTTGCATTCTGCTTGGGCTGCTACCCCTCCCCCCACAGCAAAGGCACCTTCAAACTATCAAAGCCCTTCTCCAGGTAATGTCCACTCTTTGACAGATCTCCCATAGTCACGTAGTACTTGCTCCACCAGTCGACCTCCTCTTCCTCTTCTTCCATCTCCTATATGGGGAGAAGGAAATTCAGTTCACCTCCACATCACATGCTCTCAGAGCAAAACAACATTCGTTCGGATCCAAACTTGACTTGTGGGATCTGATCTGTAGAATATGTTCAGATTATAGGAGGCAGCACAATAGCCCAAACATTTTGTGATGCTCCCTCAGCTACTGTTTCTACACAAGTTTTTTACTAAAATTGGAAGAAGTCAGAGGGGTGGGGCTTGTGGGTTTTATGATGGATCCGTCTACGCCCCCCCCCAATTGAATAGTCACCAGTCTTTGTTTTGATGACTGAAGCACCACATCACAATTTACCCCCCTCTCTAATCAACAAGAAATCAAGCAGGGGAGTGGCTTGGGAGCCTCCAGATCTGTACGGATGCAGCACCCGCAATCAAGGAGGAGAAGAAGAAGAAGCAGCAGCGTTTGGAGTTGATATCCCGCTTTATCACTACCCGAAGGAGTCTCAAAGCAGCTAACATTCTCCTTTCGCTTCCTCCCCCACAACAAACACTCTGTGGGGTGAGTGGGGCTGAGAGACTTCAGAGAAGTGTGACTAGCCCAAGGTCACCCAGCAGCTGCATGTGGAGGAGCAGGGAAGCGAACCCGGTTCACCAGATTACGAATCTACCGCTCTTAACCACTACACCACACTGGCCCTTACCTTTGATGGCGTCATGACTTACCTTCTCTTCTTTCCTAAAGGGCCTTTTCCAGAACCAGGCCTTGTAGGCTTTGCCCAGCTCCTGCAAGAAGCAGCAGAATAACTCTCACAAGCCCGACAGCCATCCGACTTTGTTCTTCCTTCCAGGGAACCCCATAGTTTCTCTCTTCCCTGGGAGACTGGGCTTTTTTGACTACCACTACTTACATGGCAGCATCTGTGCCATAGGCTGTGGCCTGAAAAGTGGCTAAAGCTAAGGAAGTGAAATGCAAAACCAAAAGACAGAAGCCTTAAAAAGAGAGAAAAAGGGAAAGAAAAGCAAGGAAGAAGAAAAACTGGAAGTTTGGCAATAGCTTAACCTGCTTGGATGAAGGACCTAGGAAGAATTTGCTCCATTCCACCTGCTATGGTGGCTGAATGAGAACTGAGCAGGAAGGTGTGGGATCTATGCTTTGGGGCATGCACACAACACAAATGTGTAGGCTACTCCACAGAGCTCCTGAGCCAGCACAATCCTTAGGGGTTTGCAGCCCACCACTCCCTGTCCCCAAACATCTGCTGCCTGAGGTGGGTGTCTCACTCTGTCTGATGGTAGGTCCAGCCCTGAATGAAGAAGACCTGAGCTTCCCTGGATGAGGCTTTCCCTTCTGCTACCAATCCATTGTAGAGGCATGTGTGGTGTGCTTTTGCGGGGATCACTCATAGTTGACGCAAGGTTATGCTGAGGCCCAAGAAGCCCAGCCAGCACCCCATGTGAACATGCTTGCAAAATTCATGCAACCAAGAATACTTTCAGAATCTCAGAGATACCAAAATACACTGATATAGAACATGGGAAGTTAGGGCTCACCCACACTTACCTTCCACCCCACACTTTCTAGGCACAAGTTTGTGCTTTAATAAATCGCAGTGTCCAAGCACTTTTTTTTGGCCCACTGCTTTCCCCAGGAAAACCTGCTCTTTAACACTAATTGGAACAAACGACAATTTGGATGGTTGTTTGCTCCAATTCAGCAGTAAAGAGCATGTTTCCGGGGGAAAGGCACTGGGGAAACACACACACACACGCGCGCGCACACACACACACACACACACACACACACCTGTGCCTAGAAACATGGCTCTAAAGGAAGTATCAATTACCCCTTGGAAACCCACCACCGTAGGAGGAGACCAGGGCTCTTAAAGGTTCATTCTTTCCATTGGCCTGTGGAGAGCCTGATGAATGTAGACCTTCTTCAAGGAAGGAAGGAAGGAAGGAAGGAAGGAAGGAAGGAAGGAAGGAAGGAATGAATTGAATCAAATAGTGGCAAGACAATGAGATGCAGCAACACTTACCTTCTTTCTCTTTGTCTTGGCAATGGCTGTTTGGAGAAGGGAAAAATTGAGAAGACGTGGAATTAATAATAGCAAACTTTGAAAGGTTTGACAGTGGAAACAAGCAGGAACAAAATCCGCCACCTTGCTTGCAAATGCTTTTAGGAGGTGGAGAGCCATTAGTTTAGTATAGCTTGCTCGCCCTTTGGAAAGCTCAGAGAGGCTTACATGGTTCTCTCAGGCAGGGTTCAATGTTGCTGAACTGAAACTCCCATCATCCCTGGCCATTGTCCATGCTTGCCGTGGCTGATGGGAGATGTAGTTCAGCAACCATCTGGAGGGCTACAGGTTCCTCACACCTGTGTTACAGCAACAACCAGTGTTCCCAGACCATTCAGCTGGCATGCAAGGTCATTTAACCCACAACACAGATGTGGAAGCAACCCATAAGGCACTTCAGACCCAGCCTTCCCAGGAGTGACTTGGGCAGCGGCGCAGCAAGAGTAGCCTCCTGGAAGTGGCATCGCTGCCGCTTACTGGGAAGGACAAGGTGGCAGTGAGGTCAGGGTTGTGCAGGTACACTGGCAGAGCCAATTCGGTCCTTTGGCACAAACCAAACCTTGCTAAGCGCCAGTGGCACTGCTGCTATGGGCTATTGCTGTGGCTCTGATCCACTGGGCAAGGCACTCCTGTTCCCTGGAGCTGAGAAAGACATACATGAGGCTATCCTCTTTCTGTTCTTGCAGTGGCCTTGAGAGTATGTGGCTGGCATATATTTCCTGTGCTGCATCTAAAAGAAACTGGTGGAAGGAGGAGATGATGTTTGCAGGGAGAAAGTGACAGGTGGGAAAGGGTTAAGCACACCCTGCAGCTCCTCTGCAACCTCTCCCCCCAATTGCCGCTTTGCAGCTGTTTGGAGGCAACTGGGGTGTCCAGCGCCATGTTTGCAGCCAGGAATATAGCTCTGTTCAGCCCTAAGGATAAACTCTTGCAATGGAACTCAGTATGTGGGCTGTTAGTTTGTTAATGTGGCTAATATTATAGATTATGAGTGCTGTAGTGCTTTGTGAATCTTATAACATGACCTGTGTGGTGGCTGTGCTGTTTAGCTTATTTTTTTAGCTGTTTCGTTAATAGTGCTTTATAGAAGGTGCTTGTTTTACTGATTATTTGTTAATTACCGTATTTTTTGCACCATAACACTCACTTTTTTCCTCCTAGAAAGTAAGGGGAAATTACTGTGCGTGTTATGGAGCGAATGCCTATGGGTGGCGGGGGGGGGGGATCTGCTGCAGTCGTGAGCAGAGGATCCATGGTTCCCCTTCCTTCCCTCCTCCGTGGCTCGCTTTGAAACAGCAAAGGGGAGAAGAGCCGCTGAGTGGGGAGGAGAGAGGGACAGAGAGCCTGCTTCTTTAAAGGAGCAAAGCTCCTTCTTTAAAGGAGTAAGCGGCTCCTGTCCGGTTGGTTCCTTTAAAGCAAGCAGGCTCTCTGTCCCTCTCTCCTCCCCACTCAGCTCGCTACATAGCAGCAAAGTTTTTCAGCTCGTTAAGCCGGGGATGAGCGGGGAGGAGGGAGAAAAGCAGAGCCTGCTTGCTTTAAAGGAGCAAAGTGGGAGAGGAGAGGAGCCTTCTCCCCTTATACCCCTCTTCTGCATTATTAGCAGCATCCTTCTCCACACACCCCACGCGTGCTCCTTGTCCCTTGAGTGCTTTTCCTTCCCTCCCCACTTAAAACGTGGTTACAAAGCATGGATCCACATGGATCCTCAGGATTTTTGCATTGGGCTACTCCAAACTCACTGTCAGATCACATGTCTGTGGCCACAGCATGAACCACAAAAATCATGCATCCACTGTATCGTTTAGAATATTTTTTTTCTTGTTTTCCTCCTCTAAAAACTATGTGCGTGTTATGGTCGGGTGCGTGTTATAGAGCGAAAAATACGGCATTCTATAATTGTGGTGTTCTATCATGTTATTGTCATTGATTGTTTGTGAGCCACTTTGTGACTCATGTGAGTGAAAAGCAGCATAGAAAATGAAATGAACTCACTCCTGTAAGGTGGGGCCTACCTCTGACAGGGAGATTATGGGCCTTCCTTTCTTCCCAGGGGTCACAGTAGTACTGGCTCATGGATCTCACAGTCGCTTGGCCCACCACAGGCTTAAATCCAAACTCTCTGTGGTCTATCACCTTCAGTTCGATGGGAAGTGCATAATCTTCATCCACAGGCAGGTACTAAGAGAGATCAGGAGGGGCTGCATGAGGTTTTTCCAGGAGAGGAACGGCTGGGGGATCCATTTGAGGGAGACAAAGACAGCTGTGCACATACTGTCATGCTGTCCAAGTGAGGAGACGACACCTCTAAGGTTTCAGTATAGCTAGTAACTAAAAAGATGCCTATTTAAATGAGCATGCCTGGCCTAAAGATGCTTGCTTAGATAAGCATTTGTGGCTCTTGACGACACACGCTACCAGTTTGGCTAGAGGCAGGGCTGGCCCAAGACATTTTGTCACCTGAGGCAAACCACAAAATGGCATCCCCTCTCCTCCCACGAGGGAAGAAAGGGTGAGAGAAGATCTACATCTGGAACAAGGGTGGGAGGAGACCAGCAGTGCCTCCTGTTCACTAAGATCCCATATGGGACAGCTGAATATTCCGGCATTGCAGGGGGCTTGGCTAGACGATCCCATGGGTCCCTTCCAACTCTACAATTCCATAGGATTCTAAGAAGCTACTGTGGAGGTGGCATGGGAGGCCTGCTGAGGAGGCAGCAGACCCAGCCCCCAAGGAGCACGCTGCAACTGTTGGTAGCACTGTGGGGGCAGCAGTGGGCAATGCATTCCTTGGAGGCCAGATTTGCTGCCCCTGTGAATCCTGCTGCCTGAGGCGGTCGCCTCACCTTGCCTCATGGGTGGGCCAGCCCTGCATAGAGGCTGGAAGGAAAGTATAGCTAGTAAAGGAGACATGAGGCAAAAGGTCACAGTGAGAATGTGGGTTGCAAAATCTGATTAGCAAACTCTAAAATGGTGGAAATTATTCTTATTCTTATTATAGGAGGAGAGGTTAGTTTCATCTCGAGTCTTAAGATTCGCCCTTGGAAACTGTCTCTGCCGTATGCTAGGGGCCCACTCACCACTTTCATGAGATAGATATTGATTGGAAAATTGGAGTGCTCTTGGAGATTCCTGATGACTGGCGTCTGAAGTGTTTCTCCTCCACACTCTATGATGAGACTCGGGTTGCTGACGGCCAGCAGATTGTAGGTCTTCATGTCCCGCAGGCCCCAAGCCAGGATCTGCGGGAAGATCGTGATAAATATGTATAAAAGCAACAGCTCAGCAGAAAGTGGGGCCACAGGGCCTGAGGCTCTGCTTTCTGGATTGGCTGCAAGGTTGGACCAATCCATCCATTTTACTTCCCCTAAACCTTTGAAGAATTAAATGATAATTGTGGAGTTTACACCCCCCCGTGCAATCTTTTCAATTCATGATGTTTTATTATGCTTTATTCTCCCCCCCCCCCAATGCATGCTATAAGCCACCCAGAGTGGCTGGGGAAACCCAGCCAGATGGGCAGGGTAATAATAATAATAATAATAATAATAATAATAATAATAATAATAATATCATCTTGTGGCTTTACACTCACCTCAATGGCCATCAGCCTTAAGATGGGCCGGATTCCTTTAGGGATTATGTATGTCCCATCCTTCCATGCAGGCGGTGGAAGCTTTCCTAAGGATCCATCCTGGGGAGAGAAGATGAAGAGCTCTGCTGAACAGAGATCTACTTTTCTTTTTTTAGCCAGTGATGAATGACATTTTCTGGAGGATAACTATTGGCTTTAAGAGCCCCTGAGAGCAAATCTGGAGAGTAGAAATCTAGAGAGTAGGGTGTGGTAGACAAATTTCTTTTGCTGGGGCAGCAGGTTGCTCCTTCGAACCTCCCAGATGTTTTGAATTACAACTCCCATCATCCCCAGGGAAGGTGGCTGTGAGGAGTAGAACTGATGGGACTGTAGTCCAAAATATCTGGAGGGCACCAGGGATAGTGAAGGCTGCTTTAGAGCCGCTGGGAAACTCAAAGAAAATTGTTGCTTGCGACTGCATGACTCTTTTATTCAGTCTTTTCAGGAGTTGTAGCTTAATTTGGGTTTATTCCAGTGTACCTAAATGTCAGGAGTGAGCCAGCAGTAAATCACACCGTTGAAGATGGAGGGAACTTTCTGTTAGCAAGAACAGAGTCTGCACAGATTTGGAGGAATGCCAGGCCCAATGAGCACAGCAGCTCGTGTCTGGTAGGTCTTGCCTCCTGGATCAGTTGCCAAGCCTGAAAGTCTCTGCCTCACCACAGCCATCTAAGTTCCCTCCTCTTCAGGAGTTTTCTCAAGCAATTGGAGACAATGTCTGCAATGAAGTCAACCTCTCCCCCACCCTTTTCATGCTTCTTGTGTTCCTGGGAGACCACAGGAGAGGGGAGCTTGTCGGAGCAGGAAGGGGGGGACGGACTCCTGTCACTTTGCACCAGCCTGACTCATCTCTGCCTCTTGGCCTCCCTCATCCCACTTTCCTGCTTAAGTTTATGACTCTGATTCTGGACTCTGCCACAGACTCTCCCAGCTCACTAAGCCCTGTTACCTCTTCAGCTTCTGACACCGCTTTCCAGGCTTCTCCCACTTCTCCCAGTGACCACTCACTGTTGTCCCACCACCACTGCCCAGACTCTGTGCCTTCTTCCCTTGAGAGTTCTCCTGCTAGTTCCACCATTCCTCTGCATCCCACCAGTCCATGATACTAACGCACCTGGCATAAGGCATAATTTAATTTGTTACCTTCTTGTCCAGCAGAAGCTCAAAAGCAGCCAGGAGCTGTCCGGAATCCTCCTGTTCTTTGATGATTGTATACTTCTGGAGGCGGGGTAGTCTTCGTGAGCTGAGATCCAGGTGCACACTTGGGATGCACAAGCTCCTTCCCATGAAATAATGGGAGTGGCCCTGAAAGAGACACAGAACAAGGGGTGAAGGTTTTCCAGGGTAGGTGTGCAAGAGGAGTGGTTAAAAGCCAATAGTAGATTTGGCTGCCTGTATGTGGGCAATAGTGTAGGGTCAGAAAGCAAACAGACAGGAAATGTTGGACATGCTGAAGACTGTACTTGGTGCTATAATCTAGTTGTTCCCCAATGTGGAAATTACAGTCCGAAGCAGCTGGATGGGGAAGGACAAGTTTAAAAGAGACTAGGAATGGGCGAATCCATCAATTTCAGTTTCTCTCTTTTCTGATCTTACATTCAGTTCTCCCCATTTCCACATTAGTTTGTGGTTTTTTTCATTTTCAAAAAAGTTCTCATGAAAATTCATATGCGTCTCAGTGCAAATTTCTCCTAACTGTATACATTTTTGCCTAACACTTACATTTCTGCAAAGCAGTGTTTCCTAATGTAATGCATTTTTCTATGTTATTTTCACATATATTTTTATGAACACTTTACTCAAACATATGCATTTTTGTACATGTTACATGGAGGGAGAACTACATTGCAAAATTCAAAGAAGTGTGAATTCTGAAGGGGGCATGTTTCTGTTTGTGTGTTGTTGAGAAGTGCGAATTAGGTAGATTTGCCTTTAAATGTGAACCAAATCAAATTTCTTCTCCATCCTTACCAGAGAGCAATCTCCATTTTGAGCTGGACTTATGAATATTTGTAACATTTAAGGATTATTGCTTGCCTGATTTTCAGCAGTATAGCTCTTGAATTCTGGCAAGTATTTTGATATGAGTAAACATTGTCTTTTTCTTGTTTACTCAGTAGTCTGAGAGTGATTTCTTTGTTAAGAGGGAAACATAAAGTCTATCAAAAGCATCCTTGGAAATCACAATTATTCTAGAAGGTTACACTGACCTGTGGTCCCCAGCAGGTGGACCAAGAATGAATTTGGCTCCTGGGCTGAAAAAAATTACCGTATTTTTCGCTCTATAGGACGCACTGGACGATAGGGCGCACCTAGTTTTTTTTTGGGGTGGGGGGAATGCGCAATGCACTCCCCGGGTTTCAGGCTGCTGCCTGCTATCCGCAAGCCTTGGGAGCCCAGCGGGAACTCCCGCCGCGCTCCGAAGGCTTGCGGATAGCTTCCTGAAGCCTGGAGAGCGAGAGGGGTCGGTGTGCACCGACCCCTCTCGCTCTCCAGGCTTCAGCGAAAGCCTGCATTCGCCCCATAGGACGCACACACATTTCCCCTTCATTTTTGGAGGGGAAAAATGCGTCCTATAGAGCGAAAAATACGGTAGTCACCCCAAACTAAAGCAAGTGTTTGTTGACATATGTTGCATGGAATTCACTGCTATGAGATGTGGTGTTTTGCCACATTTGCAATTTGACTAATTTATAGAGGAGGGGATCTTATCAGGGACTATTAAAAATGATAGCCAAATGGAACCTCCACGTTCAGAGGTAGTCTACCTCTTAATATCAGATACTGGGGATAAATGAAAGAGGAGGGCTGTTGCCTTCCTGCCCTGCTTGTGGACTTCCTGGAGATGGACTAACTGGGAAACAGGATGCCTGAATAGGTGGGTCTTTGGTGTGATATAGCAGGGCTCTTAAGTTGTTACTCAAGTTAAAGGCTGGAGGTAAAGCACCCAGGAATGCCTTCTGGACTGTCCATGGTGCTGTTATCACAGGTTAATAATGCCAGAAAAGAGATGCCTGAATTTCAGTTGCCCTTTTGCTTGCCACCTTTTTCTGTTGACTTCATGGGCCTGTGACGAGAGCCCCATGCCTATCTCAGGGTTAGGTCATCTGCTTTGCATGCAGAAGGTCCCAGGTTCAATCCCTGGCATCTCCAGGTAGGGCTGGGAAAGACTGTGTTGGAAATCCGCTGCCAGTCAGCATACAGATAATATCATGCCAGACAGGCCAATGGTCTGGCTCAGCGTAGGGAAACTTCCTATGCACATACGCTTGCGTCAAAGTCAAAGACCTCCAAGGCCACCACAGGTGGATCTTGCTCAGTTGCTCGAGGGTCTCCATAGATCAAGATGTTTTCAAAGATAAGGGTCTGGTCCCAGCAGGGGTGCAGCGTGCCAGAGATGGTCTGGGTATGTTGGCTCATGTGAAGGAAGGAAATGTGGGCCAAAGGATCTAGCAGAGAGGAAATAACAGGAGATGGAGGAATTACCGGTACAGAGTCAAATATCACCTACATGTTTCCCAAGATAACACTACGCTATAAGCTTAAAATGGATGAATAGCCATTCACACCCCCCCCTCTTTCTTGGGAACTCTAGTTTTAAGGTGGGTGAGTCTGGGGATCCCCAACAAAGAATTCTCAACATTTGCACTCCCCACCCACCATTGGGTTGGCCCAGCTATAAGCATCAACTCTTTCCCCCAGGCCACTTTCCTGCTCTAAATCCCCCCCTGCAAAAGCAGCTGTTAAAGCAAATGGGGAGGGAGAGGAGAGAGGACTGATCTATAGATAGCTGTACTTTTTCCTAAGTGGAGCTAAAAGCAACATTGGGAGGGTGTGTGGGGATGTTAGATGGGGAAATGGCTTTTTAAAAACAGCACTGTTGCCCTGATCCAGTCTGAGCATGATTTGAAGATAAGATGATAAGATGAAGATGAAGATGATGCTGAAGAAGAAGAAGAAGAGGGCAGGAGATCCAATACTGGATCTCTTGCAACACAGCTTTTTTGCCCTGTCCTGAGCTCCGGAAAAATAATAATTACCTGTGGTCTGAAATGGGAGGGGACACCAAGATTCTGCCCCTCCTAAATTCAAAGTGTAACACAGGCATTCGAGTGCCTCTGGGGAAATGGCCTCTTGTGAGGAAAGAGATGAGGACAGGGAGGAGTGAATGATAGAGGGCATGGGAGGGCAGAGGACTTGGAATCATAGAATGATTAGAGTAGCAAGGGACCCCAGGGGTTATCTAGTCCAACCCCTGCAATGCAATTACTTGTTTCCATTGCACCTACCTGCAGAACTCTTAGCACTAGTTCCAACTAGGTCTCTTGCTTGGTAGATGTAGCAGCGCAACTGGAAATAGACAGGATCTGAAAGGAGGATGTCTTTTTTTAAAGAAGAAGAAGAAGAAGAAGAAGAAGAAGAAGAAGAAGAAGAAAGAACTGCACTTTCCTTCTAGTTTGGCTACAATATACCACCCAGACTTGCAAACAGGGATGTCGGAAGGCAACGTTTTTCCATTTCGCTCTGTATTCATCGCATGCCGCTCTTCCACCCAAACCTTGCTGCTCATCTTCCACCAAAAACCTCGCTGTCCATTGTGGTGAGCTTATGCAATTGATTAAATAAATTGCACAAGTTATGTTGTCATTATGTTATTCTACCCCATTCATTTCAATGCAAAGGAAATGCATTGCAAATGGTGGAGTGGGAAGCACCGTTCCAGACCTGGGATAAATTCGCAAACACCAGCAATTTCTTCTCCTGCTTCTGTTTTTGTCCGAATTCTCTGCAAACTCCCTACTTGCTCTGTTAGAGAGTCTCCTTGTCCACAATATCATTCCATCTCAGGGGATGAGTTATGCCCCAGAATGCTTGGGAGAACCCCAAGGTTGACAGAAATAGAATCTTTCAAAATACAACCACCCCCCTAAGGATGCCTCTGCCTCAATACAGCCCAATAAGTGCTGAGCATGCTCAGTGGCCATGGAATGTTGAGTGACCATTGAAAACGAAAAACAGAACAGTGAGAAAATATCCAAAAAGTGGCACAAACAAGGACACTCTAGGCATTTTGACCCATCAGAAGATCAGCTTTCAATTCATATCAATGTAACTTACATAGATTTAAAATACATCAAAATTGGTTTAGCAAACTGGTTTTGCATTTGCTCTTGGCAGGCACAAAACAGCCAAATGTCACAGCTGGAGGTGATCCAGCAGTTTGGCCAAGTCCTGGAGAAAGGGGAGAACATCTGGGAGGGGTAACAGCAGGGGCGGACTTTGGCCTTTCATATTTCAGCAGTGCCCTGTGTGAGCCCAAAGTTCAGCACTGCCCTCCTCTCGCCCTCCGTTCTGCTCAATTCACTATGTTGTACTTGCGAGCCCTGTGTCACCCTCTAGGCTCAGCACCTGGTGTGGTAGAACCAGATGCGCTGCTTTAAATCTGTCTCTGGATAACAGTCCTTTGTCTTGGATACCGCTAAAGCCCAAGCCTGGCCCATCATTTACAGTTCCTAAATTCATATTTTATTATTTTTTTTTACTTACTTTTATATTCCACCTTTCCTCCAAGGAGTTCAAGGTGGCATACATAGAAACCATGGCACGTATTCTATAGATTTATGACTGCTCCATGTAAGCTTTGAATCCACTATTTGCCAAAGAATTAATGTCCATATTTGGGGAAATTTCTGGAGTTCAGGAATCAATGTGGGGTCAATCAGGGCTACCAGTGGTTTCTTTTCTGTCACTTTTCTTTCCACTTGATTCTATTTCTTGACCATTTGTAGCTGTCATGGAATCTGATATTTACTTGTTATTTTATGTGCAGCAGGACAGACTTCTTTTTCCATGTGCTCTTATTTGGACAAACTGTTGGAGAAAAGCAAATGCATTTCCTTCTCTTGAGTTTGTAGTTAATGCATGAATTGCTTTAAACTACAAGAGGGCACTTTGTGTGTAGCTATTTAGCCAACAGTGTTTGTAAGCCTCTATGTCCAACCCTAAAAGATGTTTGTTCTTCTCTCCATAAAATATGTCTGCTGTTTCTCTCTTATATCCACTCATCAGGTAAACAGTTCCTGCATGAATAAAGCCTTCGAACTCCAGAAACTGTAAGTCATTCTCATTCACCCAAGCTGCTAAGGCCTGTTAACACAGACTACTCACTCTTGAACATGCAGAAGATAAGTGGGGTGTTCTTCTTCAGGAGGGCTTGAGAGGGAGCTTTTTCTGGCTCTTTCTCATCTTTCTTTTCTTCTTTCTTTCCTATCTCAATTTTCTTATTTTTCCATTGGCTTTCAATTTCCACACCCTGAAAAGAGATGACATTTAAAAAAAAAAATGCCATAAGTGTACACTTTAAAAAACCCCTGCTACCCATACAAATCATGCAAATAAAGCACAGGAGCACATTGCCTTTTAGCTATTTTGCCAAATTTATTCCAGTTTTGCTAGTCATGGTATGTGTGTGTGCTCACCTGTGGAATTGGAACAAATGTCAGTCCGTGGAAAACCCGTTTGACATTTGGTCCAATTCAGCTGTAAATAGCATGTATCCCTGGAGAAAGCGGTAGGACAAAAAAAACCCCCCGCTCAGACCCTAACCCACACATCATGAACCTGTGCCTAGAAATTATGTGGACGAGTCCTTTGAAAGCCAAAAGACTGGCTTCATGTCCTCTGAATGAATCACTTGCCAGCTGTGCCACAGCTGAGGCAGAAGGCACCTGTCTTTTCTTACCAGTGAACCCTCCAAGAGAAAAATGGAGGTCACACCGCTGGGCGACATCGGGATGAGCTTCCTGTGCCAGCATCGCCGGCGAAAGATGTCGCTGGGATGCCGCTGCAGGTGGAACCTCCAGCCATGGAGTGGAGCATATTCCCAAGTCTCTTCTTTCAGCCTTAACTCTGAGTGCTGCAGGAAATAGATGGAAAGAGAGGCATGAAGTGAGCTGGAGAAAAGATAGTGATTAGGTCACCACATATGATCCTGGTATCAAGGCCATTTGAGACCCCCTGGATGGAATTGAAGGTTTTATGGGGGTTCACTTCAACGCTGGTCATTAACAGTAGCAATGAAGATTGTGATTTGATTTGGGGCCCCAGATTAGACAGCCATGTGTGTTACTACAATTTTGACGCACACAATGTTACATTGCATTTCATTGTCATTGCGATATATTTTGAGGTTTCACGTATGTTTTGTTTTTGTGGTTTTACTTAACTACACTGTTACTTCATATGTGGGAATTATTATGGTTAGTGCTAGTATTAATAATGTTTGGTTTTGAATGTGGAATTTCATATTGTGATTCTTATATTGGTTCTTTTTTGTTGGGCCAACTTTAGAAATGCTTTCACAACCCCCCCCCCCAAAAAAAGAGAGAAATATTTTGGAGCACATGCAGTTTTGCATCCTAAACTCACCATTACAGTAATAAAAAGGGGGTTTGTTCCTTGATGCTACAGACTTGATGCTACAGACATTAATTAGTTGTGACTAGGCAGGTGGCTAGTCATTAATTGTGACTAGTTGGGTGGCGGGTGGCGCTGTGGGTAAAAGCCTCAGCGCCTAGGGCTTGCCGATCGAAAGGTCGGCAGTTCGAATCCCCGCGGCGGGGTGCGCTCCCGTTGTTCGGTCCCAGCGCCTGCCAACCTAGCAGTTCGAAAGCACTCCCGGGTGCAAGTAGATAAATAGGGACCGCTTACTAGCAGGAAGGTAAACGGCGTTTCCGTATGTGGCTCTGGCTCGCCAGAGCAGCGATGTCACGCTGGCCACGTGACCCAGAAGTGTCTCCGGACAGCGCTGGCCCCCGGCCTCTTGAGTGAGATGGGCGCGCAACCCTAGAGTCTGTCAAGACTGGCCCGTATGGGCAGGGGTACCTTTACCTTTACCTAGGCACCATTTTAAAATAATGAATGAGAAGCTGTAACCATGTATGTGCTGCCCCCACTCAACCGTAAAAAATCTGTTAAAATTAAGAAGAAAGGAGGCTGCCCTACCCAGCCCCAGCCCCACTGAGCTCTGGCGTGGCCCATGTGATGATGCTTGGGTCTGTTTGCCACAGCCCGACCACCTGCCACTTGCTGGGCGGTCACTTGGGGGCCCTTGTTCTGTGGGGCCTTGGGATTTACCCCCCAGGATCCATAAGAATGCAAGAAGAGCCCTGCTGGATCAGGCCCGTGGCCCCTTGTCCTGTTCTCACAATGACCCCAGAGATGCTCCAAAGGGAAGCCCACAACCAGACACTCTCCTTTCCTGCTGTTTCCAGCAACGTTTATTCCTTAGTCTTTAGCTGCAAGACTGGGCACTTTATTGCAACATTTAATACAACCTGGAGGGTTTCTAGCTCATCTACAAGCTCTCTGGAACCAATATTTAGTGTCACCTCACCCATGCTGTAGAACACTTCCAGCAGAGATGTGACACGTATTGGTATTTTGTTGTATTTTGGTTAAAAGGAGAAAAAAAATACAAGAAAACAATAACAAGTAGAATTCCCTGGAGGCCTAGATCCAGGTTTGTGGCAAGTGCTCTTTGGTGCGAATGCCCTAGCAGAGGTTTAAAACCACAAAATACGTAGCAAAGTAAAGTGAGGAAATATAGACTGTTAGACTTTTAAAATATCCTCTTCTAGGTTGCTTCCAAAGTTTCCCTCTACCCTTAGCACAGAAAGAGACCACATGATTGGTAAGTTAAAAATGGTTTACTTACAAACTCTTCAAAGGTCACATTCATTTGGTTTCCCATATAGCAACCAGAAAAGATAGGCAGTTTAATTTATGTTCCAAAATGGGAAATGTTTCTAAATTATTTGTATTGAAACAGATAGCTTGCTAAAGCCACATGATCTAAGTTTGGAGCATCCAGCTTAGACCTCCTTACTGGTAGGTATCAGGAATGTGGGGCCCCTGAGCACACCGAGAGTCAGCCTCGGAAGTTGAGCTGAGTGAGGAAGAGGTTAACTCTTCTGAGAGCTGTCTGTCTGATTTCCGAGAGAGCAGCCCAGGGCCCCTCCTCATCTCCAGGGAAAGAGCGTTTAGTTCCCAGGAGGAAGAGGAGGAGGAGTTGGATCCTCACCAAGACATTGCCAGGCAACCATCAAATAAGACTTCCTCTCAGGCTGGATCTTCGGAGGGGGATTGCATTCAATCCGAGAGTCCAAGAACTCGTAGGTTAGAAAATGTAGGTTAGAGAATGAAGGAGGGGGAAGAGAAGGAAGGCGGGATTTTGGCGTTCCTCCTGTTGGAGAGGGCGGGACGATGACTCGGACTGGAGCAACTAATGAGATCATGGCTGTCTGCCCTGCTCTGAATGTGTTTCTTTTTCTTTCTTTCTTTCTTTTCTTTTTTTAATAAACTTCTAACAAGCTGACAGGAGAGTCTTCGCTGCTTTATCAGGCTGCTCGCCTGCAGAGGTCACTATAGTAGGGTTAACATGGAGGAAGAAGAGTGATAACAAATAGTTTGGTAACCCTTCCTAGCAGGACAGCGTACTCTATGGTCTTAATCCCTTCATGGATTAATTATGTTGGTTATATGAGGCTGGACAGCAAGCACCCTCCCTTTTTACTAGCAGGCACCTCTTGAATGCCTTTTCTCTGTGCCAGTAATTTTAATAATCATTTTGTACCCTTTCCATGAAGTATTATATTTTATTGTTTTTATTGTTTTGTGGGCAGTGTCTAAGCTGCAGTACCAGCCTGCCTGAGTGTCCTGTCAGTTGGCACCCCCCCCCAGGGGGTGCCAATCCCTGTCCACCTGGTCCCCATAAAAGTCCTGGCCTCAAGAGTTTGCTCTGCATTTATGGCTGACTTTTAACCCCTGACATTCTCTGAACAAGCCCTTGGGCACAACAGCTGTGAGCACCACTGCCAGTTACCAGCCGAAGGAAGGCGGCCATTTTTCCTTCTTGGTTCTCGCTGGCCAGGTTCCGGCAGCGTTTCCTGAGCCAGCGCCGCCGGCGGTGGGTGTGGTAGGTCTTCTCGGCTGCATTCCAAGAACGGGGGAACTCAGCGGGCGGGAGAGCAACGCCATACTCCCAACCTAAGGGAGGAAATGTATTCTCATGAGGCTCCAGGCAACGACCCCAGAAGATATGCAGTCATTGTTCTCAGGAGTGGCCCCAGGGCCAAGACAAACACAAATGGAAAACTTGCCAGCATCGTCCACAGCACGATTCTCCTCCACTTTCCAGTCTTCCACAAAGAGCCAGCCTTGGGGGCACAAAATCTCTTCCTTTGGAGGGGCAGGGGAACCACTCTAAAACAGAGAGGGCAGGGGGCAAAATGGGTGTCTAAGCAGCAATATTTAAAATGTGCAGGGCATTGCAAATCGTGGGGGCTCCAGTGCAGGGGAGGGTTTTGAGGTACTATTGAAAGCCAACCTTTTTAGGCTTGAGGGCATGTTAGAATATTCGAGTGAGTGCCATAGCACCCCTGCCCTCACTGACCAGCTCTCTTCTTTCCCCTTGCTCAGTCCCTCCCTCACGAGACAGAAAGAGAGTCCGTGTACACCTGCATGCACACACTTCACTTTCCCAAGGGATCTGGGTAAAAGTTGGTTAAGGCAGAATTAACCTGAGACTTGAAAAGCACATAAAGCTGAAAGAGAAACTTCCTAAGCATTTTTCAAGGGAGGAAAAGATATTCATCTTCTCCATCTAATGGCTAAAGGGGCAGTGGTGGTGCTTGGAGGCTTTGGGGCACCAGGGGAAGACCACAAGGGTGCCATCGCGTTCCTGGGCACCACACTGTTGGTCCCTCAGTCTTTTTTCAGATTATTGACCCCCAGCCTCAGGAGGATCTGAAATTTAGGAGTGACGGTGATGTGTGTGTTCCTGTGGTATAGAGGTATCCTGCTCAGTAGTGTGGCAAGACTCACCCAGGGTGTAGGGCAAGGTGAGGTTCATGCTGGACACAAGGCAGGGTTCCAGCTGTGCTCTGGGAAACACAAAGCTCTAGCAAGGGACAACCTGAGCCCATTTGTAAAGGCGGCAGCAGGTGTAGTCTAATTGCTAGCACCATCTGTGCTGCAAGAGACTGCCTTACTTAAAGGGGCCCACCTGTCCCTCATAGTCTCCTACTGCGAAGGAGCCAAGGAGGACCCAGTCTTCTAGGGTCTTATACAATGATGTCCTTGGAGTTGGAGGATGGCAGAGACATATCCTTGGGCTTGGGGGTGGCACTGGCAGCAATGGTTCTGGAGCTGGCCCTGCATGATCCCAGAAATGGGGCGCTATAGTATGTGTGCCTTGCAATCTCAAGGGATGTTCTGTGGGAGTGGGGGGTCTCCTTCTTCTTTCGGAAGTTTTCACCCATTTTGGATATGGCAGGTTCTGACAGGCGGGGAATCTACGGGGAGAGCATCTTCCAAAGGTAAGTTTGAAAACCACTGGCATCTCCCAAGGATGTCCCAGCCTCAAAGGGTCTGCCCTCAGTCCCAGGCTGAAGCTGTCTGTCTCTCCCCTCACTCACAGCATTGCTATAGGGGACTGGGGCCGGTCTCCATCGACGCCCAGGTTGCCGGATCTGGTTCTCATACACTTCCTCTAGCACTTCGGTGTGGTTTGTCTCTTTGTCCAGCAAGAGCCTGGTCAGATGCAGAAGGGGCAAAGGTCGGGTATGTTTTTGATATGGTGTGGTTTATTTACATACTGTTTAGTGACCCAAAGGCCCCAGCAGGGTGAACCACATGAATACATTGCAAAAGGAATAAACAAAGTTTGTATCTACGTAATCTGTGTAGACACATTCTATTTTAGAATCAATGGAGACCGAGTGCTTTTCCCCAGTCTGTAGTCCATGCGTCACTGAGATCTGTTGCATATTCTTTGCCCTTGAAAAGTGATACTTGAGAAACTGGTTTCATTCTGAAAATGAAAGCTAATTGCAGACTGATTCTCCTTTGCCCTGCTGTGGGCCTATTTGAAAACAGAAGTCGGTGGTCCTGGCTTTGGGGTGGGTGTATCCACACCTACCCAAATACAATTATTATCATTACTATTTATTAAATTTCTATACAGTGGTACCTCGGGTTACATACACTTCAGGTTACATACGCTTCAGGTTACAGACTCCGCTAACCCAGAAATAGTGCTTCAGGTTAAGAACTTTGCTTCAGGATGAGAACAGAAATCGTGCTCCGGTCGCGCGGCAGCAGCAGGAGGCCCCATTAGCTAAAGTGGTGCTTCAGGTTAAGAAAAGTTTCAGGTTAAGTATGGACCTCCGGAATGAATTAAGTACTTAACCCGAGGTACCACTGTACTGTCCTTCATCTGAAGATTACAGAGCAGTTTACAATCATAAGTTTCTCTGGAGAGAGGGTCAGAGCCATGTTTTGGAGCATGTTTGATTTCTGTTGGAATTCAGGATTGGGCCTATGGGAGGAGAAAGACCCTTTTGGAGTGGCAGTGCTCTGAACCCCTCCACAGTAGGCTCAGGTTGTTTATATATGTAAAAAAACCATATATCACGAAGACACCACAGTCTCTGCTGTGTCTCATTTCCAAATGGAAACACAAACCCTGGGGAAGTGCCTGGAACCCCTGGAATTTCACGCTGCTGTGGAGATTTGGGTGGTGCATAACCATATAAAAACAGAAAAATACAAAGCCATTTCCGACCTGGGAGGAGAGGGGGTTGCGGGCAGAAATCCCTCCCACATCTCACACGCGGGGGCCGGCCCTTGCCCCCGCGTGGTTAGGGAATCCCCGGGCGTGTCGGCGACCCGGCCCGCCAATCAGCGGGCCGGGGAGGCGTGGCCTAGCCTATTTAAGACTAGGCACGCCCGGGGACCACCCTCTTGGCCCCTTTCCAGCTAAGCGGTTTTCCCATCCCACCCTCCCTTTAGGTTTAGCTAGCTTTGACCTTGCTATGGACTTCGGTTGGTCGCCGGAAGGGTCCTGGTAGGAATTTTTCCAAGTTGGCACACTTCGAGCCTTTTGGTTTTTTCGCCTACCTCGTAGCAAACGTCACAACTTATTCGGTATTGGCGGTTAGGCATTGGCAGGGGTCAATTGTTATGCAAATGAAGGGGGGAAGGAAGCGCCATCACCTTCCCCAAAAGAAAGGGTAGTCCGGTAGAGGACTCCGGGGGGCGTGGCCTTGTCCGAAACCTAGGAAGGTAAGGGCCTCCGGCACGCCCCAGAGCGGTGACACCCGTGGGATCCTAGTTGGCGTACTTCAACAGGACTCCCACGGCTTGTGGACAACCCTTCCCGGTCCCCATGCCGGGTAGTCGATAGGAGCCAATGCCTAAGGCCAATACCTTCCAATTCTGTAATCAATAAAGTTGTGGCCTTTTTATGCCCATTAACCTTAAATACTGTGTTCAGTGTCTTCATTTCACATGGGGGAGGGGACTTGCCACGCAAACCATAATAACAAACAAAATCAATAACCTCCCCTCACAGACAGTTACTGTTTTTTATTAAGCATTGTAGATGGGTGTCCACCAATTATTACTTCCTTCTTCATTCACCTGGGGCATGTGCAGTGATAAAAAGGCCTGGATAACCCAAAGAAGGGGGCATCCAACAGCCCCACCCGCCCTTGTGGAGGGCAGTGTCCAGAATCACAATTTAGATTGAAAGCAGAATGCTGAGGACGAGCGCGAATGATTCCAGACCATGTGTCTGCAACCTTAGTTATCAGATGTTTTCTGCCCTTCCTCTCAAAGCAGCCCAGCGTGGCAAACATCTAAGTGTTAAAACATCACCGTTTAAAATAAAAAAGCAAAAGCACATTTAAAGCATTTAAAAACAACTGGAAAACATTTAAAAGCAACAGCATACCCTCACAGTTGCTAATGTCAAGGTTGTCATGGCCAGTAGCTATCAACCATCAAATGCCAGCGGTTAACAGGAAGGTCTTTAAATTCCTCTTTTTAAACACCCTGTTTTAACATTCTGTCTCCCACTCCCCCATCTGATGGATTGTTGGTTACTGAGTCCCCCCTGCTTTGTTTTAGGCTGTCATTTGCACTTTAGATTCTACTGAAAGCTATTTTGATGTTTTTCTAAGAAAAGAGTGGCATTTAGAAAAGAAGAACCTTGTAAGTAATCTTGAAATTATTATGCGCACACTCACCTTCTCTGGGGCTCCACGACCCACTCGCCATCCCACTGCCATCCCACAGGCGGTTGGAACTTTTCTTTGGGAAGGCTGACCTTCCCAGTGACATCTGAAAAGGCGGGGTGCTGCATCAGGTCCCTGGTCCCCCATATTCCGTGGGTCTTCTTTTGATTTTCATACTGCAAGCATGAGAGTTAGAACCATGGTTATTTTCATCCCCCTCAGGGCAGCATACATGGTGTCTATCAGCACAGCCAATTAAATGGCCCAAGCATAGTCCAGAGAGAGAGGTCTGGAGGAAGGGGGGCCATTGCTCAGGGGCAGAGCATTTGCTTTGCATGCAGAAGGTCCCGGGTACAAGTCTCTGGTATCTCCAGGTACGGCTGGGAAGGTCCCCAGTCTGAGCCCATGGAAAGTCACTGCTACCCAGTGTAGGCAGCCATGAGCCAGATGGTCCAAAAGTCTGACAGCTTCCTACAGTCTTAAAAACATGCTGGTGAGCAAACTGAACAAAAATAGGCTATGAGAAAGGAGTCGAAGGAGAAAGCAACAGAGAGGTTATGTCTTTCTTAGTTCAGGCTTTGTACATATCATGGAGGCATTCAACCAAACATACAGAGAAAAAATTCTCTCAGAATTACACAGCCAATCAAAGCACATGATGCCTCAGTGATGTCATGCCACCCTCTTTGCTTGTTAAGCAACACCTCCACCTGTTTCCCTCTTGGCTAGCTGACATTGACAAAATTAACCTTGAAATTACGAACAGAATGATCCTTACGACTGCATTTCCAACAGTGCCTCCACCACTCCCATACGGCCTCCAGCATAAACCTGTGAGGAAAGGTTATGCTAGGAGATAGTAACTGCCCCAAGGTCACTCGGTAAGTGCTGTGGCTCAGTGAGGAGGTGTCTCCTGGAATCAGGTTGAAACTGGACCCTTCCCATGCAGCTGCCTGGCTTGTCTCTCACCGTCTCAGCGTAGATAAGGATTCTCCCTTCACAACATTTCAAGAACTCTGCACTATCAGCCAGCTCTCCAAGCCACATTCGCACCCGCAGCACAACAGGAATGGGAGCCTCCTTCCCTTTGTTTTGTGCACTCTGTGGGATAGAAAGGAAAAGAGTTATGCATATGCATTCCTTCCACCATCATCAGGACTGCAGACCAGTGGCGTAGCGTGGGGGGTGCAGGGGGGGGCCGGCTGCACCTGGCGCAACATCTGGGGGTTAGGGTTAGGGGGCGCAAATCCACGGGTTAGGGGGCGCAAATCCACGGGTTAGGGGGCACAAATTACTTGCCTTGCCCCGGGTGCTGACAACCCACGCTACGCCACTGCTGCAGACATAACAGTGGACATAATGGCTAGATGAAGGTCCACCAGGCTTAGGTGATGCTTAGGTGGGCATCCAGTAATGTGGAACCATATGAAGAGTCCTTTTTGGCTGATGGAGCCGGTTCCTGTGACACAAGGGCAGTAATGTAAGGAGGACAGAAAGCACAACATGCAGGGCTAGAGGAGCGCCAGCAGCTCCCTTGGGCAGACTCAGAGGGGAGGGCATGAGATGCTTGTGGGTACAGTGCCTCCTGGGTGACCCCAATAGCTTTAATTCCTATGGTTTTTGCTAAGAGAATTGGCAAACAAATGAGCCAAGCTACATATATCTTTCTATTTGTTATTTTAATTTTATTTAAAGCATTTGTGCTCTGCTTTTCAGACAAAAAGGACTCCTAGAATGGCTATTGTAAGACCAGTAAAAACAAAACAATTCCAGCCTGCAAGCTTACAATCTAATACAGTGGTACCTCGGGTTAAGGACTTAATTCGCTCCGGAGGTCCGTATTTAACCTGAAACTGTTCTTAACCTGAAGCTCCACTTTAGCTAATGGGGCCTCCTGCTGCTGCCGTGCCGCCAGAGCACGATTTCTGTTCTCATCCTGAAGCAAAGTTCTTAACCCGAGGTACTATTTCTGGGTTCTGTAACCTGAAGCGTATGTAACCTGAAGCGTATGTAACCCAAGGTGCCACTGTAGACACAGCAGAAAAGAAAAAAGGAAAGAGGAGGGAAGAGGAAAACAAGCAAACAGACTCCATTTTCAATATCAAAAAGTAGTTCTTTTTACCTGCAGGAAGATGGTCTGGGTTTTGCCACACATCCTGCCCCTGGCATGGGGACCAGCTTTGGAGAACATGATTGTATGAGACCTGACCCGGGTGTGAGCCACCCGCTTGTCATCACACAGCATCCAGATCATGACATCCGGCATGCTGATCTGGGCCTAAGGGCAGCAAGAAGGACAGGGAGCCAGAGGTCACTTACTGTGGTCGTGTTTGTACTTATAACACTTAGCGTATGTTCATATTAGCAGCCTAAAACACAGCACAGGTGTTTCCACCCTGCATGTTTTCAAGTCACATTTGCATGGTGTTGGTCACATCAGAGAGCATACCCTCCAACATTTCTCCAATGAAAGTAGGAACATCCTAAGGAAAAGTGGGACATTCCAGGATCAAATCAGAAACTGGGATGGCTTCTCTAAATCAGGGACGTCCCTGGAAAATAGGGGCACTTGGAGGGTCTGCGAGAGTGAATGGGGATGTCTTCACCCAACAAGCATGACCTGTTTGGCTCCTGCAACCCCCTTTCCCCAAACTCCTATTCATGAATCTGTCATTTGCATATGTGCTCTTCTTTGTGGATGTGCAATGAGTGTCTCAAATGTACACACCATTCTTAAATTGGAGGTGAATGCAGCTTAAGTTTGCTAGTTGGATAGAAGCTGGTTTGAGGGGGGAAACACATTAGATAACAGCATTTGTCAAGAAACTACAGGATGGCCATGGATTGTGGCTAACGTCATGCAACTGTGGCTTTAACTAGCACTGTGAGTGCACGAGATGTGAAGAAGATGCTACAGCTGTTCCGCTGGCTACCAGTTGCTTTCCAGGCACAATTTTCTATGTTATTACCAGTCCTTATTTTTATTTGTAAGCCACCTTGAGTCCCCTCAAGGAAAAAGTTGAAGTATAAATAAATATATCGACAACAACATTTTATACCACACATATTCTGGGTTTTTTCTTCTTCTGTTGCTTTTGGGTGGCGCTGTGGGTAAAAGCCTCAGCGCCTAGGGCTTGCCGATCGAAAGGTTGGCGGTTCGAATCCCCGCGGCGGGGTGCGCTCCCGTTGTTCAGTCCCAGCGCCTGCCAACCTAGCAGTTCGAAAGCACCCCCGGGTGCAAGTAGATAAATAGGGACCGCTTACTAGCAGGAAGGTAAACGGCGTTTCCGTGTGCTGCACTGGCTCACCAGATGCAGCTTTGTCACGCTGGCCACGTGACCCGGAAGTGTCTGCGGACAGCGCTGGCTCCCGGCCTATAGAGTGAGATGAGCGCACAACCCTAGAGTCTGTCAAGACTGGCCCGTACGGGCAGGGGTACCTTTACCTTTACTTTAGTGCAAGAGTGTCCCTGCAGCCAGCAATAATGCAGAAACATTGGGGAAGCATCACATAACAACCAATAAACTGGAATGATGTGTGAATGTTCCAGTATAAATCTACCACTAATGCACTATTATGGCATCCATTACATGATGTACGACACACACACAACACCCCAAGCCTCCCTTCTCTTTTAAGGCTCAGTGCAGAGCACCTTTGTCCAAGGAACATGGGGGACTATCCCAGAAGCATCTGAGAAAAACAGCCCTTGAGCTTCCATTCCTTACAAGAGTTGTCCCCTGGAGGTACCTCGGAAGCGACTGAAGCGATCCTGTTCAGCCAGATCTCTGCTTTGGCAATCAGTTTCTGCAGGGGTGTCTTCCAACTTGTCTTCTCTGCTGCCTTGCTGGTTTTCAGGAGGAGTTGGCTGCGCAGCTTCCTCAGCTGCAGATCCAGCATGGTAGGGACTGTTGGGGCTTCCCAGCCAGGAAGAGGTCTCCTGAGCATGGAGGAAGTGGGAAAAGTTCAGTGCTCCCCGCGGGAAAAGAGGTGGACAAAAGCCGTTCATTGCAACTGTGGCTCTGGGTGCAGAACTGAAGGGAAGGTAAAGAATGGACACTACAGTAGTGGCCAAAATTGTGGAAACCTTTAGGAAAAGTTATATATGAAATGCCCTTTATCGTGGTTTTCCGTGTATAACATCTTTTATTTTGGCTATAACTTTTGATAGGATAAAAGTAATGCAACACAGCAGAATATATTGCAACAAATTGACTTTCTAATGATATACAAATTTATGGCATTATTCTAAAAAAGGCTTATGGTGTGAGTCATCATACCTCAGAAATACATATTTTCCAAAAAGTTCCCACGGTTTTGATCACTAGTGTCTCTTTCTCCTGAGTACTGACAGGCTCCAGGTTTTGAAGGGACCTTCTCACCAACTACTCACTGCAAGCTAGGAGGAGATGGCAGTGGGTATATTAAGAGAAGCCTGGAGCCAGTGGAGCAGCTGAGGGACTCACTTTAAACATTGGGAAATTTAAATGCACCCACTGAAGAAATAGGAGATTCAAGTGTTTGGAAGTAGTTGCAAGGACACAGAACATGCTTTTGGGATGACTAGTGCACTTAAAAGTCTCACGCTCTCTATAAAAGCCTGGTTTGGGGAGGGGACACCTTCTGCCTGGGTGTATGACCTCCCCTGCAGACCAGGAACACACCAGCTCTGCGGCCCACTCCCCTGCCAGAACTTCCATGGCCTTCTTCCCATTGCTCACTTGCAGTCTTCCACCAGTTCTTTCTGGAGCATTTTCCAAACAGCACCCACAACTGGGTCTTTGGGAGAGCTGATGGCTTTAAGAATGTCCAGGTTCTTCTTCTGGTAGGGAAGGAAGCACATGGTGATAGCTGGGCAGCCCATAAGCCAAAACCAACAGCATATCATAGTATAAAGTATATTCTATGTGTCTTCTACAATAAATAATACTAATTATGTAAGCCATCTTACTAGGCAAATATGGGCCCTGAGAAGAAGGGCAGAGATGCATTACATTACAACAACAACAATACAAATAAAAGGATGTATCCAGTGCTATTTCTACTCATAGTAGACCCACTGAACTGAATGGACATGACTAAGGTCCCATTCACACCATTCATTCAGAGCACAATGACACCACTTCAAACAGTCATGGCTCCCCCCCCCGAGTCCTGGGAGACAGAATTCAAGACTGTTGAGAATTGTTCAGAGAGCACCCTCTTTCCCCCTAACAAAGCTACAATCCTCAAAATGGTATAACAATCTATCCCTTTTTGCATGAGACTCTGGGAATCATAGGAGACCCCCAGTCCCATCCAAGCCATCAATTCTCAGCACCCTTCAGAAACCACAGCTGCTAGAATTCTCTGGGGGAAGTCATGAGCATTTAAAGTGGTATAATGGATCATTAAACATGTGGTGTGAATGTGGCCTAATTTAAGTTCCTTAATTCCAATGGGTCAACTCTGAGCAGTGCCTACTTGCATCCAGCCCAGCAGTCATTGGCCTGTTTCAATGCTTTACCCTGGCTTTTCACACTGGAGGTGCATATTTTTAGAAACCACTGTGTTTTTGTGGTTGTAAGTTGTTTTAAACTTCTTTAACACTATGTTTTATTTAATGTTTTAACTCACCCTGTGACCTTAGGGTGAAAGGGGGTAAATAATAGTTATAATAATGATTATAATAATATGGCCCAGAATCACACTATATCTGCTCTGCTTCTTCCTTACAATATTGCCAGTTCTTCTTACTAGGTTATTGGCACCAGGATTTGACCACCTCTGCCAGGTCACTCTGTCCAGAACTCAGGAATCTCCTGCGGCTGAGCTCTGATAAGAACCCTATGAAACAACAGTGGGACTTCCCGCCCCGCCCCCGGCATATGTACCCTCATCTGACGGGGCACGTGCAACCTGTGGCTGCTTCTGCAGGGAAGCTGTCGCTGTTCTTCCCTCTTCAAGCCCCTTCTGGCTCTAGGAGACAGCGGGGTGGGAGATGGCAGGGATTTGACTGCCTCGTCCCTCACCTGCACAGCCTCTTCCTCTGCTTCTGACACATCCTGCATGTTTTCCTCTGTCTCTGACGGCTCTGACCCTTCCTCCCCCCGGCTTGTCTCACAGGCAGTGCCAAATCCCATAAATTGCTGGCCCCCTCTTCTGGGTCAATTCCCTGGCCCCCTGCCTCCACCACAAACTGCTCAGAACCTTACCAGTCCCTGGCACAGGGGCTTAGACTAGAAGACCCTTGATGTCACTCTCAACTCTATGCATCTATGATGCATGGAGATAAGGCAAACCAGAGGCTATGGTCCATGACAGCTAAGGACATACCCTCCATGCTCAGAAGCACTATGACGCTGGTATTGTGGGTGGCGGCTTCCATCATGCAAGGGGTATATAATTGGCAGCCGTAGGAAATGAGAAAATAACCTGGGATACACATCCCTCTTGCACACAGGCCATTCTACCAGCCCCTGTTAGGTGGTTCATCACAAATATGCCTGCTCCCTCCAATCACTGGTTCCTGGACTTACCAGCCTGTTGTGAATGAATAGCATGGCGTTCATACTGGCGATTCGGTAGCTAATGTTCTCCCAGAATGAGGTGATGGCAACCATGGGCTTTGTGTCATACCATGGCAAGTAGTAGTAGTGGTTACCTGGAAAGGAATTGCCTGGTTTTGCACTGGGTCTTGTCTTGCCATGAAGCTGCTTCATGAGCAGTCAGACTATTGCTCCATCTATCCCAGTGCTGTCTACTCTGACTGGAAGCAGATCTCCAAACTTGCAGACAGAGGCCAGCCACTTGAAAACCTTTGTGGTGTAGCGGTCAGACCAGTGCTCTCTTCAGCTACAAAGCTAATTGGGAAGACAACAAAGAGTCTTGTGGTACCTTTTAAAGTGCTAACAAGTTTATTATAAGCTTCCATGGGCTATGCAGATAACAGATGACTTGTGCCATAATGAACTGGTTAACTCTTGATGGTGCCAGAAGATTCTTTGCTCCAAGACACTAGCATGAGCACCGCTCTGCAAAAAGTTTATTCAGTGAACTTCTGTGTATTGGTCCCAGCATCCAACCTTCCTCACAAGACTGTTGTAGGGATACATGGGAGAAACCATGTCTGAGCCCTTTGGAAGAAGGAAGGGATTAAGATGCATGGAACACACGACACTCATAGCATATGCTCTACCCACTGAGCTCCTGTACCTTCTACCTCCAAATAGTATTTCCCTTCCCAGTGAATCCTTTCTTTTCCTGCCCACCCCCATCTGCCAGTTCATTTCCAGGCCCAATTCAAGGTGCTTGTGTTAGTGTGCAAAGCTTGTAAATGATTTAGGCCCCAAATACCTGAAAGACTGCCTCCTTTCCTACAGATCCTCCCAGGTGTTAAGCTTAGCAGAGAGGGCACCTCCTCACTTTGATAGGATCATAGAGATGGAAGGGACCCAACCCCTGCAGTGCAGGAATATGAAGTAGTCCCTTACAGGAACCAAACCTGCAACCAAGCTTTCCAGCTCCCTCAGAGGTTCAGGGTAGATGGGTGTGATGGCCTAGGAGAGGGCATGATCTGTGGTGGCCCTTAAGTTATGGAATTTCCTACCCAGAAAGGTGTGTCTGACTTCTTCACTATGCAGCTTTTACTGAATGCTGAAGATCTTTACCCTGGTCTTTGGCACCTGAGACGTGTATTTTCAAGACCCACCCTATTTGGGGGAATGTAACATGCTTCATCTGTTTTTAATTCTGAATTTTAAATTGTTGTAATCCAGCCTGGGATCTGCTGGTGAAGGATAACTAATAATTTTCACCATCATCTCTTAGTCACTTGTTCCTTACCATCATACACAGCATGGCTGTACTGAGTGGTTGAGGCAGAAGGTTTGCAAGTCCCATCAAATTTGTTGCCGTAGTTCCCAATGCTGACCTCAAACTGGATCTGTTCCTTGATATCAGCCAACATAGTAGCTGAATAAAAGATGACACATAACCCATACCGGATTTGAGGCAAATAGCGCTGCAGAAACAAACAAACAAATCTGTGGAACTGGCACAGTAACAAATCAACCTCACACACTTTGGAACTCCTATTGACATCAGACAGACACCTTCACTGGACTCTTTTCAGCACCTGTTGAATACATTTTATGTTTAGACAAGCTTACTAAAATATGTAGTATGTTGACATCTGAGCACAAAACTATCTATATACTTATATATAATATAATAATCTTGAGAAGCAATTAAAGTGCCTACAAAAGATCCTCAAAATTTTAGCAGCAGCAGAACCACCATCCTGTTCTTATAGTGGCCGACGAGAGGCCCCAGTGGAAGCATGCCAGCAGAACTTGGGCACTCCAGTCTGGCACAGCTGGCATGGGAAACCCTCCAGGTCTTCTTGGCCTGCACCTCCCATCATCCTTGGCCACAGGCTGCGCTGACCGGAGCTGATGGGGGTCCAAGAACACCTGGAGGACCCAAGTGACCCAGTGCCTGGATGGAACTTGGGTTCTTCAAGCTCTTGGCCTTGCACTTTCAAGGCAGCAGAGAAGGCATGCCAGGTGGGCAGGGAATGACAGGTCCACAGGCCTTCTCTTGCTGCATGGAGCTCACAATCAGATCTATTATGTTATTCATTTACTAGAATAATTTATGCCCTGTCTTTCCGCTAAAAAATATAGGAAGCAATCACTGAAATATCCTGGTCCGAGAGTTTTGAGGGCCCACTTGAAAAGTTTAGGCCAACATTGTGAATTGGGCCCAGAAACAAAATGGCAACTGGTGACACTGTGATAATACTGTGGTAATATGGTCCAAACATCTCACACCACATAGTCCAGCTTCTGCATTCTGGGCCCTGTGAAGTTCCTCAACATCCTCCAAAGACAAACACAAGAAAGCTTCATCTGTAACTAAATAATAAAGACTGTTCCTGTTGCCAGCTGCCCGAATCCTGTGTTTCCATGACACTACAGTCTTCCAGGAGAAACATGGGAAAGTAAGAAGGGAGGAAATAACTACTGCTCCTGCAAGGTCCACATCTTCATGGTCTTATGAAACACCCCCACCCCACCCCACACTCCTGTTTACACATGGCAAGAAAACAACTTGTATATATTTTGTTCTTTGGTTACCTCCATTCTTGTAATATATTGTTCAGGAACAGCTTCTATTCTTTGAACGGGGTCCGGATCCATGTAGGTAATCAGCTCCACTAGGACTCTTCCCCGGTAAATTATCCCTTCCTTCTAAAAGAGAAGAAGAGTTCATGATAGAAAGAGCAGAACAGACAATGATAAGGAAGAATTGAAAAGAAAGAGCAACATTGTGATGTCTGTGTTACCATTTCCTTACACTCTTTAGCACAGCCTAAAATAGCCCATCTTGACAAGAGTGTGCACATTCTCAGTGTTAAGAAAGAGACCCTTGGAACACAAAAGCTTGTTCTTGCCAAGGTGTACATGAGTGGTACTTTACACCGGGGAAATTATCCCTGATAAACCCTATTCTTTCTCCTTCCACATTTGAGAGGCTGTGGTATGGTTGGTCCATACCTCCACATGCCCCAGGGATTGGGATTGCCCCCAGGGACAAGGGTTTTGGAAGCTCGTGTGCCAGGAGACCAGTGAGGCTACTGGTCAATGGGTACATCCATCTCTGACACTGGTCTTGTTAAATATGTTTCTGGATAGAAATTGATATCTTAATCACAAAGAGCGGCTGTGTCATTAACTCTTGGTAAATGTTGTAGCTCAGCATTAGAAAACTATTTTAGGTTTGCAGTGTTGGTGCCTTGCAGAACAATCACCCTCTTGCCACAACTCCTAAGAAGTTGAATGGACAACCAAGAGACAGACTTACACTCCCAACATTCTCTAAATTGTCCTCTTCATTCATGAGCTCTGGTGGCGTCCTGTAGAGGGTCACAAAGCTTGGCCCGAAGCACGGCAGGAAGCCTGGGAAATTCTCTGAAACCAACAAGAGCTTGAGGGGAGGAAGAGTCTGTGCACCACCAGCCTAGTCACAAGCCAAGGCAAGGTGGCCAGTTTTGGGTGCTCTCCAAGAGGACACCAGACAGATCTGATCCCCAGGGCACAATCCATTGGGAAGTCTTCCTGCATAATCTTCCACTGAAACCAAGGAAGCTAAAAGGCAGCAGAGGGCTTAAACCTGGAGCTCTATGGGACTCCATTCCTCTGGGGTCGAAGACCAGGGGAAGGAACTGGAGGCAGCTCAATACTGGACACCACTACCCAGAATCCTCTTGGTCCTTGATACCGTGATTGTATAGAGCCAATCCCGTAACACTATCTGCTCTAGAGCATGCCCTCCAACAGTTTCATTCCCCAAATCAGGACATCAGGAGGGGTGCAACTTCCAGTCCGGTGCTCTGGCAATCGTCTGGAGAGTTGGCAGAGTCTTGCCAAAGTACTGGACCAGAAGACGCTTTGGCGTGATCCTGCTGATGAGTGCCAGAATGCACGTCTTTAACAGGACATTCCAGGATCCAAACAGAAGCCAGGATTGCCTTCTATGATGTGGGATGTCCCACGAAAGAAGGTACAATTAGGGGGTATGATATAGCTCTAAGACAGGTGGGGAAACTGTGGTCTTCCAGATGTTGCTGGACTCAGGAGCAGACTTTGGTAATATGGTGCCTTGAGTGAGGACAAAATTTTGTGCCTCCATCACATATTTCATATTTTCGCAGTAATACCTTTTGGTACAGGTGCTTTTTAAATGGATCTTCTCAGTAGGTACCCGTAAAAATAATGGTTTTAGTATTATGACTATGGCTATTATTTTCTGCCCCATTGGCTGGGCACCCTGTACGGGGAACCAACTGCACTGCCCTAAAACCCTGGACTACAACTTCTGGCATCCTTGACTGCTGGCCATGATGGCTGGGACTGAAAGGGCATGCAGTCTATTAATACCTCCATGGCCACAGATTCCCCACCCAGTCTCTAAGAACTGCTAATCTTCCTCATTCTGGGCAACTTGGTCACCAGGTGGTCCCTCCAAGCCAACGATTATCCTTCTCAGACTCAGGACCTGGACCTCACCTGCCTTTGGCTCTGAGGGGGACGTAGGATAATGTGTTTCCACTATTCCAATACATTTCAATGGGGCTTGCACCAGTGCACAGCAAATGCCAGAAGCCCTGTGACCTGGGAGGGCCCACTGTGACTGGTGCCAAGTCCCAGGCCGTCCTTTGAATTTCACCAGAATGCAATATGATGTACATGCAACGGGCACTGCATTTTGGGCAAATTAAAATGGTGGCAGTAAATCCCTAGCAGTAAGTCCAGTCACACAGCCTTGGAGTCTCTGACAACAAAGCCAGGAGGCCATCCCCTGTTGGTGCCTGCTGTCCGGGATGCCTGCCATCGCCCAGTGAAGGGCTTGCTACCAGTGGGGAGGGGCCATGGAAGGCACTCCAGGATCTTCTGAAACCTGGAACCAGCTCTGCTTGCATAAGATCAGAGCTTGCACCGGAAGATTGTGCCTTATGCTAATTGAAAGGAGTGGGTTGCTGTCAGGTGGCCCAGATTTGCAGGGTGTGTGTTTGTAAAGAATCAAAGCTTGCTTACTTCCCATGTCATTCCCAGCTGAAGAGATCTGGGAAAGGCTGAGAAATGCCGTCCCCAGAACACTGCTATCTTCATTTTGTTCCCTAGAAAACAAAATAGAAGGCTCCGTGGCAGCGGGGAGGGGGACACGCCTCCCCCCAGTGGCACTCCAGGTCTCTTCCTAGGCCCTGGAACTCTTCTCAACTGCACCCCATCTCCCCAGAACAGACTCCTCACTGCCCTGCTCTGTACCCTCTCATGTGCCTCTCACTTGCTTGGCTGGGGGCTAGAGCAGGGCATCCATGTGCAGAAACCTTTGACCTTTGCATGACTGGAAAGCAGCAATATATCTTGGACTGGCAATGTCTTTGGGGGGCATAGTATATGGCCTAGATACTGTCCCGCATTTGAGGTGCACTGGCAGCACTCACCCATCAAGAGCACTGAATTTGATTAGATCACACATGGAAGGCATCTGCAAAGGAAAAGGCAAGTTGGTAAGGAAACCTCTCTGCATCTGTTGCTCCTAATGCCCATGTGTCCCAGAGAAGTTCTTCTCCAGCTCAGAAAATAAAACAAGCGGTTAAGCATGTGCAGAACAGAAAGTAATCAGTGATGAAGTTCAGGTGCCATGGAATTGACACGTCCCAAATCTCCTTGCACCTGGGATACCAATGAACATGCTCCCATTTCAGCACCCCAGGCATCAGGGATAAATGGAGGCCATTATAGCAGCTTTGCATGAGGGAGAGGTGGCGGCTGAGGTCTTGGGCTTCTATTGCTGTTATTGGGAACCTAACAATAGTCTGCATTTTGGAAAGCAAAAGGACTGAGAAAATTTCTGGTTTTAGGGCCAGAAGGCCAATTCCAAACTGAGCCAGAGCGTGGGTTTGCATGTCAGTGGTGTAAACAGTAAACAGTAGAAGACATTTCATCCTGATAGGACAGAGTAGCAGACTGCAATCTGGGAGGACACAGACAGGAGAGGGGGTTAAGTAACTAGCCCTCCCCTCCCCAATGAAAATGGTGTCATAAGTGCTAGGAAGCAAGCTCAGCCCCAGCCACAAGTGCACCCCTGTGCTCTCTCTCCCCTCACCCCATTTCTGCATAACAATACTCACCTGCATAGGAAAGAACATCAGCTGGTTCCACACAGGGTTGGCGTCTCTGAGCACAACTCTGGTCTTTAGCTGAACATGTGGGTAAAGGGAGCAGGTCACTAAAGAGCCACCATTCTGCAGAGGGCTTAGCTTTCAGCACATGCTAGTGCCAGGTAAGATACCCACTTCTAGATGACAGGGGATAGCTCAGTTGGTAGAGCACGAGACTCTCAGTCTAATGGTTGTGGGTTTGAGCCCCATGTTGGGAGAAAAATTCCTGTATTGCAGGGACTGGACTAGATGGTCCTTGTGGTCCCTTCCAACTCTACAATTCTTTGATCCTATGACTATCTTATGAAACAGGATTATGTATATTCACTTGTCTCTGACATGTAAGGCCGAGCTGCAGGGAACCAAGCCTGAAAGCTCTGGAGAACTGAATGAGCAGCGGTTCTTGCTTTCTTCAGGCCATGAGTGTACTATAGATGTAGGAGTTAAGTGTGGGCAAGCAGCAGCTGATCAAACTCCTTGAGATCTGGTAGCTTTCAAGGACTTATTTCGAAGGCTGAGACGCACCCATTTTGGTTCATGGCAAGTTCTCCAATGTGGTGATCAAGGCAAAGAGAAGGCTCCCTGCTATTGTCAGTGTTGCATGGTCAGTCAGTTTGGAACTTAAATTGTTATTCATGGAAATGCATTGCTAGGTTGTTGGTTTTTTAAAACGAATGACACTTGGTTGGTTTTTGCTTTGTGCATTTTGGAGAGGGAGAGGGAGTACCATGGGGTCAATGTGCCAAATATTACAGCAAGAACGATGGAAAGGAGATGTATTTAATTTTTAGCTGTATAGAGAGAATATGTCGCATCATCTTTTATGCAGATTATGATTAGAGCTGTCATTCAATTAAATAGATCTTAGTCGATGAAGAAATCAGTTTCTTCTTTAAATCTGCATATAGATAAAAGCAATGGTTCTGAAGCAAACTTCCTGTGTCTTTAGAAGATAGGTTCCTCTATTATCAATGGCAGGTAATGCCTTCAAAAAGACGTTCCTCCTATGTGAGGGAGAAAGAGAGGGTCTCCCTTAAGTTGTAACTTGCCCTGGGATTTGCTGGTGAAAGGCATGTAATAATTGATTCATTAGCCCCAGCTTGGATAGCTCAATTGGTAAGAAGCTTTAATTATGGTTTTAGTTTATAATTTTCTAGATCTTAAGTTTGGTTTGCCACAAAAGTCAGCAGGATTTCTACTAAGACTGTATACACATTTTTGAAAGGAAGTTTCTCTAAAACAATGTACTGCACTTTGGTATTATTTTCATGGATACATGCATTTTTATGCCCACTTTCCTCCAATACACACATTTCTATACACATTTCTTGGGGTTGGAGAACTGCATTGCAAAATTCAAAGAGATGCAGATTTCAAAGCATAGCTACAGTTTAGTTTGTGTATAATTTCAGAAATATGAATTAGGTAGAATTTCTCCCCCATCCACAATTATGAACCATGTACATTGATAGTGCTCCATAAAAATATTAACATTAGAGAGATATTAATAGCCAGGCTCCTAGGTGTCACTGGTAGCTAAAAAATGGCACCTAGCCCATGCTGAAGGCAGCTGGAAGGAGGGTGAATTGCTTTGTGTGAGGCCTGCTTGCCGCCACCTGCCCAATTTCCTTAGGGTCCCCAATGGCAACCAGAAGCAGCTCACCTGCAGAAGGTGAGTCCAGTGCTATGATTTCCAGCTAAGCCTGAGGCTGAGCATGTGTCAATGAAGCACTACCTGGAAGAAAATCTCTCTCTGTGTGGAAACACCAGGACCTGCCAGCAAGGCACTCGCGTCACTGGCATGCTTGGGTTTCTGTGCCAGCCTCCTTCCAAACTGGCACCAGAGTTTTGCAAAATGCACCCTTTGACAATTCTACCAGACACACCTTCAAGTCATTCTCAAGTCGCATCTCTCCATGCAAGACGTAAAAATGAGTTCCCAGGTAAATAGGAAGTAGTTACCCTGCTTCTGTTTTGCATTACTGCAACTTGTCATTTCCACCAAACACTAGGCTTGCAAACAACCTTTGGCTAGGCTATTTCTGGTGAGCATCAGGGGCCTCAAGGTGATCAGGCAAGGATGGATTGCAATATTGGCCCTTTCCTCCTTTTATGCTACTAGAGATTAACATAGCCTGTATAGGCTAGTAAATTCAAAGACTGTAGAATACAGTACCTTATTGTATTGTTTGTCAGTAGCAGATGTTAGTTTCTTAAGATGCTACTGTCTTCCTTTAAGGAAGAATAAAATAATTAGGGCTGCATTTTACATACCAGTTTCCCTGCAAAATCAACTTCCAGAGAAGGGTCAACTGAACCGCCAGTGGGATCAACATCCATGTTGCTCTGCACTGTTGAGGAAAGTAAGAGCCCTATTAAATCTTTTTTAATGATCCCATTTTACCAGGGTGGGTGTGTTGGCAAACTATGTTTATCTGAGGCCACCAATGACATAAAGACGAAATTTGAACTTAGCCCTTCCTTACTCTCTTATCTGCTAGACAGCTCTAATGGGAATGTGTTGACCGCATAAGGGAACCTGGAGGAACATGAATCTGAACTATCAACCTATATCATTTAGAAGTAAAGATTCAAGCCCTCTCACTCATATAATAGCCTAACAGAAACAAACTCTTGTCTGGCTGTGTTTTGACCTCTGAGACACTTATTTGAATGTTCTATGTTAAAAATGGAAATTGGAGTAGCTATGGGTTTTTGTTTTGTTTTGTTTTGTTTTGTTGGGTTTAATTTTTTGAAAAATTTATTGATTTATTTAAGTAAATCATTTTTACTACCCCTTGTTCTTTAGCCAAAAAAGCTGCCAGTTGAAATTTAAAAAAAACAAAACAGTGATTATCCTGTTTCTCAAGTTTTGAGAAAAGGTCAGAAGAAGCACTTTTACTTACTGTGCATGCTTGAACTGTGGAAGGCATGCGTGCACACTAATGCACCACTGCAATGCATGCCATGGTGGCTATGTCCTCCCTCCATGGTTGGAGACAGTAGGTCTCTAAATACCACTTGCTGGGAATTGCAGGTGTGGAGAGCGCTAGTGTACTCAGGTCTGGCTTGCAGGCTTCCCACAAACATCCAGTTGGACACTGTGAGAATGCTGGGTCAGAATGGGCTTTTGACCTGACTCAGCAGGGCTCTTCTTCTGTTCTTAAGCCAGGACAAAGCTTAAGGCGATTCCTCGGTTATTGCCTTCTCCCCCTGCCCCTTCACAAGCAAAGGCTTAGTCCACTGTGTCCACCAACACAAGAGCAAAACTGTGCTATTATCCTCACTCTCTGACCCACCCGTATAACTGGGACTCCATTGCCTGGCCCAGCCCAGGCACCAGAATTTCTGAAATTAAAAATTAACAAGCGTTTTTGCTTTCAAAAAGCAGCAAAGCTCATTAAGTTCTTTATAAAGCCTGGCATACTGCAAAGACCGAGGCAAAGTCATAGCAACACGTGGGGAAGGATGTGGGCTTAGCTCCTGAAAGGACATCCCAGTCCTACTGCTACCCTAGGTACTTAATTAATTGCAAATGCATATGAAAAATTCAAAGACTTCCCCCCACTGACCAGGGCTATTTCAAACATTTGTCCATAATAAGTGTGTGGTTGGTTTGTTTTTGTGGGCGGGAAGTTTTGTGGTGCTTAAATCTGTTACATAGCTTTTAAAAAAACATAGCTTTGTTTAAAAACAGCCTAGTATACAAAGGCAACATTTATATCCACTGCTCCACCATCTTTTCCCTGGGACCCTGCACACGGCTGCCATGCAGAAGGCTCCCCAAAGGAAACGTGGCTCCCTGGCTGAAAAGGGCTCCCCATTCTTGTTGTACAGCACAGGAAGCTAACCCATTCTCACGCCACTTTCAGTGCTCTGGAAATGCTAAGTCACACAGGAAGGGAGAGACCCTCCCAGAAGCTGCCCCTTAAGCTCTTGTCTATTTTCACTGGTCCAAACCTCCTAGGGGGGGGGGAGGAAGGGTGTGTGTGGTGGGTGCGAGTCGCCCCGGGTGTCACCAAGGGACCAAGCTACACCTACTGATCTTAATGGTTATCACTTTGGTCTATATGAGATCTGTAACTTTTAAAAAAAAATAATTGTGCTGCAATTTGCAAAATAAAACCAGTCTCTCTATAGAAAAAGACGAAAAAGAGAAAGGGGCCATTGTCTCTATCTTGGTTTGGCACTGCCACCCCACTGTGACAAAGAGGCCACTTTTTGAGTGTGGTACAGAGATGCAGAGTCACCAAGAGGTTTTTCCTTTGTCCATTGTTTACTGCTGAATCAGAACAAACACCCATACTCAAAAACCCGATTGGTGTTTCTTCTGATTCAGCAGTAAACAGTGAGTTTTCTGGGGAAAGCAGATGGGCAAACGAAAAACTTCTCGAACTTGTGCCCAGAAAGCACAGGCCAAACAGAAGTAATATTGTGTGTGTGTGGAGAGGGGGGGGGGCAAACTTACTTGGAGACAAATCTTCTGCTCGGTATACAAAGAGCTGGAGCATGGCTCTGCGTACTGCTGGCATTACTGCTGCCTGCAGGAGGTTGGCTTCCAAATCGCCACTGTCTGGCAAATGGGCTGCATCCTTGGAGAAGAGAAAGGCGCAACATAAACCTGTGACCCATATGCTGGTGGCCCTCTAGATGTTTTTGGCTCACAACCCCCATCAGCCCCAGCCTGCCCTAGCTGTGCTGGTGGGGATGGATGGGAACACAGGAAGCTGCCCTATCATGGATCAGGCCATTGGCCTACCTGGCACAGTGTTGTCCACACTGACCAGCAACGGCTCCCAAGACTCTGGATGGGAGACATTCCCTGCCCCACCTGGAGATGCCGGGGGGGGGGGAGGACTTCCTGCAAGCAAAGCAGGTGCTCTGTCAGGGAGCTCCCTTCCCCATAATCCTTTTTCAGTCTCAAATATCGGGAGGGCCCTAGGTGGGTGAAAGCTGTCACAGATCATCCCTACAGAACACGGAGGGAGTTTCAGATTCAAACAGGGCATTTTCTGTGTTCATTTCAGTGGCAGCTGCAAAAGGAGCACAAACACTGTAGCAGGAACAAATGCAATGTTGGAACCAGCCCACAGTTATGCAAGGAAAGCTGTGGAAAACTCAACCCAGTTTAACAGGCATGCCGTCTCCCAAGAAAACAGTAGATCTGGCATGTGGGACCTGCTGTCCTGTAGCTTCTTCCTGTGGTGAGCCACGCAGGAGGGCCACATGGGGGCAGGCAATGGTGTAAGGTGGGCCTTTTCGATTTAGCCAGGTACTCAGAGTAGAATTCATGGTTCTGTTTTCAAAACAACCTTATGAGGTAAGGTAATGAATTAATTATAGGTCTTTTTCCGCTGCTTGTTCATGTTCCTGGAAAAGTCTGCAACAGTTCAAATATAGGCACAAATAAAACTTAAATAAAGCTAAAGACCACAGAATTGCAAGAGCAATTAAAATTATCTGCAAAAGGTGAGAGAAGGAAAAGCAACAACAAATAAAAGACAGGCTTCAGGCAAACTTCTCTGGGGAGGGTGTTCCATGGCTGGAGTGCTACTACCCAAAAGGCCCTTTAGATAGTGGGGGAACCCCAAGCAGCTTTCCTGTGAAGTTCTTAATGTAGGGGCAGGTGCAAATCGAGACAGGTGGTAAGGTCAAGATGGAGCAGCTGTACCCCATTCACCCACTGAGCTTCAGGGCAAAATAGGAGTTTGAACCTTGTTCCCCACAGGAATAAGTCTAACACTCCATATCCACCATCCCAGTCTGGCATAGGCATTTGGGTGTGCACCCCACATAGTAGAATCATGGAATCATAGTTGGAACGGATCCTGAGGATCATCTAGTTCAGGAATATGCAGCTGTCCCTTATTGAACCCGCAACCTTGGTGTTCTCAACACCACACTCTAACTAACTGAGCTGATGTTGGCATCCTGTAGCAGGACCCAGGTATAGATAATATTTATCTTCTTAAGAATGTTGCTGCTAAAATCCCAAGTTCTTCCTATTTAGGCTGCTGGTACAAGGCCACCAAGAGTTCTGCTTGTCTAGTCAGCCTGTCCTGCTCTACTAAACCATTTAGCAAGTTGGCGTCTGACCTACCAGTCTTGAAAAATGATGCCTTATTCCATTATCCAAACAAGGCACCCCATCATTTTAACAGCTGCCAATGGCATCACATGAACTTGAATGCCTGTGACAAGCCTCTGTTGAGGTGGTGAAGATGTTGTAATGTAAAGATTCTTACCGGCGCCTGATCTCCAGCTCCAAGGACACAGAGGTTAACTTTCACATAGCCCCTTAGTCCGGCATTGAGATTAGCTGGGTCATAGAGGCTCAGCCATTTGCCCATCAGAGCATGACCTAGGGAAAAGAACAAGAGCCAACATTCACACCATCCAGAAGTGCCTTCTAATTGTGGACAGACATTCATTTTAAAAACATTCGAAGATCCTGCTGGATCAGGCTTGGCCAGCATCCTGTTCTCACCAGGGCCTGTCAGATCCCTTTGGGAAACCTGCAAGCAGGACCCGAGCCCAAGAGCCCTCTCTCCCCCGGGGTTTCCAGCAGCTGGTCTTCAGAAGCCTTGCTGCCTCCAGCCATGGAGGCAGAGCATAGTCATCATGGCCAGCAGCCATTGATTGCCAAGGACAGCCTTTTCCTCCATGGATTTGCCGCATCCTTTTTTAAAGCCATCCTCGATGGCGGCCATCATTGCCTCCTGTGGCAGTGAGTTCCACAGTTCAATATTTTAACTGTTTAACTGCTTTGTGAAGAAGGGCTTTCTTTTATCTGTCCTGAATCTTCCAACATCATTGGTTGTTCATGAGTTCAGGTGTTATGAGAGAGGGAGAAAAACGTTTCTCTGTCCACTTTCTCCAGGCCAGGCATCATTTTAGACACCTCTGTCATTTCACCTCTTGCTCACCTTTTCTCTTAACTAAAAAGTCCTCGCAGGGGAGTTGCTATGAGTAACAGTATCACAAGGATGCTTCCTTTTTGTCAAACGTCAATATAAAACTGTGTGACCTGGTCAGAGTCCCTCTTTCCTTACTCTGTAGGTAATATAAGCTGTCAAGCCCTAAATCTGAGGTCTGAGCTGAAACTTTTCACAAGTTTCCATGAATGGTTTTGGCCCTGTTGATGAGGGCTTCCTTTTCCAATTCTCTTAGGCACTCCTTGTGAAACAGTTAATCTGATTGCTTACATTGCCTCACTAGCTCTCACTCTCAATTGCCTTCAATTGCCATCACCATATACTCAAATCTGACAGGCTCTATAGCTTAGTAATACCATCCCATGTCCTACAATAGCTGGTTTACATTTCATTTCCCACAAATATACATAGAAAATAGGCAATTTAAATATAGTAGTAGCACAACAGCTGTAATATGTAATACAAATATAATGCACTACAATATAAAAAGCATATTAGCACAAAACAACCAGTAGGACAATTAACAGGATCTGACACCAAAAACATCCATGGAGCTTGTGATGTGAGGATGGAGCACAAAGCCCAATGGAGGGTGGAGGAAGGGAACAGTGGCTGAAGGGTCTTGGACACCCTGCCTCCCAAGAGCCCTCAAACTCGCCACTGGCTCAAGACAAAAGTACCTGGAGATTCATACACAAGCCCGATCTCAATCTGCAGAGAGAGAAAAACAGAAGGAGTTACAGGAATTGTCAAGGAAAGGAAAAATTGAGCTGTGGGAAAATTTCAGGGCAATTCAGAATATTGCAAAGAGTTTGTGGTTAGACTAAATTGTGGTGGTTTTTCCTTTTTGCGGGAGGTGGGGTTCCCTTCCAATCCTGTGATTTTATAACTAAAATGGGGTTCCACGGGAATAGGGGAGATTGCTAAAATGGTCAAATGCTTCTTTATTAAGGAAATAGCATAGGCAGGTCTATTAAGTATCTGTATTGTAATGTATGCTAATGTGTTGTCACAGAAACTCTAAATCTCTGGAGGCTCTTCTGGGTGGTCAGTGGAAGAGGGTGTGTCTCCCTCCCTCTCCCTGGCTAAAGGGGATGTCTTCAAGATATCTCTGTGTGGAAAAGGACACAGGAGAATGGCCGTCTGGGGGCTGGAGCTGCAGAAGAGACACAGAGGCCTGACTTGCTCTCTGCAAGAATCCAAAGCTATGGCTTTGGTGACCCACCCCAGGAACCTAAAGTAGGAGGAAGAGATGATCAGCTGGAAGATTAATGCTGTAAACCTTCCAGAACATGCTCAGCCTGTGTTTATAAATCTTCTACCACAGAAATCACCATCAGCCTTCCGTGGCCTTCACTCCAAGGAAACCAACCCAAGGTATGAGCTGGGACTAGGGATTTACAAATTCTGGTTTTCTAAGTTTCTCCTTTTTCCAATCTTAAATTCAGTTCTTCACATTTCTGCAGCAATTTGGTTTTCTTAGTGTGAATTTCCCCTAATTCTTAAATGCAGTTTTGACAAATATAGACATGTTTGCAAGCACTCTCCCCTATGGTAATGCATTTTTGTATGGCATTTTCACTGATGTATGCCTTTATAGGCAAACGTTACCCTGATACAACATTGCATTTAGTAGTTGTTGCTCTAATGTAATTAGCTGCCATAAATAGAGCCTGTTTAAGTGTTGGATGTTGCCAGATGTTGAGTGCTACCAGTGGTAAAACAACAAACAAACAATGAATGAATGAATGAATGAATGAATGAATGTCAAAAGCTTGGCTGAGAGATCAGAACTTCTAAAAAAGACTCTTTCCCTTGTCTTGGGGGCCAGCACAGGGCAGCTCAAGGCCCAGTCCTGAGTTCAGGCCCACTGAGCATCACCAGCAGGGAGGCACCTCTTGATTTCTGCCTCTCTGTAGATATCAGCCAAAATTGCATCCGCTCACCCTGAAGACCCCAATGAGGGAATCGGCCCGTATTGCCTTGGAGTTCAGCACCTAAAAAAGAAACACACATAAATTCCCCTCCCCTCCCACAAAGCTGCCTTGTTCGTCTAGTTCCAGTTACAGATAGGTAGCCGTGTTGGTCTGCCATAGTCAAAACAAAAAAAAATTCCTTCCAGTAGCACCTTAAAGACCAACTAAGTTAGTTCTTGGTATGAGCTTTCGTGTGCATGCACACTTCTTCAGATACCAATGCACACAAAAGCTCATACCAAGAACTAACTTAGTTGGTCTTTAAGGTGCTACTGGAAGGAATTTTTTTTGTTTTGACTATGGCAGACCAACACGGCTACCTATCTGTAACTGGAACTATGGAAGGCACCACATTGAGCCGCATGAAATGGAAGTCCATCAAGGTATCTGAAGAAGTGTGCATGCACACGAAAGCTCATACCAAGAACTAACTTAGTTGGTCTTTAAGGTGCTACTGGAAGGAATTTTTTTTGTTTGTCTAGTATAGGGGTTGGCAATGCAGTGCCTCTAGATGTTGAGGACTACAATTCCTATCATCCTTGATCACTGATTCAGCTGATGGGAGCTGAATTCCAAAATACTGTATGTGGAGCCCCCCCCCACCACACTGGTTGTGTCTGGTCTGAGTAAGAGGCAATTGTGGCCTCAGTCGCAACTCCACTCTCCCCCAGGCAGTGACTAAAACAAGGAGTGATAAAATAAACTCAACCAGACAACAATCTGGATTAAAAATGGCCACAGCTTTATTGACTACAGAAGTAGGTGGAATTTTGGCTCAGGCATCGGGTCTATATTTGTTTTAGCCTCCTGCCGGAGGGCTGAAACATTTTCAGGGTTATGCCAAGGACTTTGGCCTCTCCAAGACACCAAGCTACTGAGGTGGCCATGCTAAGGCCATCTGCTGGAAGCTCTAAGGCCCGCCTGCCCCATGCTTGGCTTCTGGACAGAGACTTCCACCCTCTAATGGGGTGCCCTGAATACGCTGCTGGTACTGGACTGGGCAATGCACCTTCACCCAAAACATATGGAGGGCACCACACCACATGGGTTGCCCCTAGTCTAAGTGAGATACATTTAGCAGCTGCGTTATCCGTTTACCACTTGCATTGGGGCTTCTTTTGTATCTCTGAGGAAAAGGAATAGATTTAAGAGTTTAAAATTCAAAACAGGCAACCCAGCAACAACCAACTGTCTGCGCAGAGGGTGCGGAAGAATGGAAAACATAATCAATGGAAGCTGGAGGAAGGTGACTCAAGAGCCACCAGCCCACACCACTTCTTCTGGTGTACACACCACACTTGCCTACCGTCAGGCTAGGCGGAGAAAGGGCCACAGTCCAGAGGGAGACTACCTGCTTTGCCTGCTGAAAGTCCCAGGTTCAGGAAACTCCAGGTAAAGCTGAGAAAGACATCTGTTTGAAACCCTGGAGAGCTGCTGCCAGCCAGTGTATAACAAATACACCAGCAGCCTGATTTGATACAAGACAACTTCCTATGTTCCTGATTTGAAAGAGCTAACAAAAAGTGTCAGGGTCAAGCTTGGACTTCACTTGGGCAATGGTGCGTTGGTTTTCTATCCTTATTTCTGGTTCCCCTGCCTGATGGCATCTTCTTAGGCCTCATTCCCAGGAATAGGTGTCTCCTGCTTTTGCCCTGCTAGCTCTCTCAGCCCACAGCTACATAATAAAGTGCCATGATACCACTTTAAACAGTCCTGGCTTCCCAAAGGGTTCTGGGAGCTGTAGTTTGTTAAGAGTGCCAAGAGTTGTTAGGAGACCCCCATTCCCCTCCTAAAGCTACAGTTCCTACAGTGGTTTAACAATCCCTCTCCTCAGAGAAAATCTGGGAATTATAGCTCTGTGAAGGGGAGAGGGGCCTCCTTAATGGCACCCTTAATGGTACAGCTCCCAGAACCCTTTGGGGAAAGTCAGGACTGTTTAAAGTGGTATTGTAGTGCTTTAAATGTATGGTGCGAATGTGGCCTAACAATTGAAGGAATTCCAATGGGTCTACTCTGAGTGGAACAACCTAGTTGCTTAACAGTCATTTGTGGCCTTTTAGGTGTTGTGACCTCTTGTGAGAAGGAAGCGTGGCTGGGGAGTGGCAAAGAGTGCCCACAGCCTGCAACGTCTCAGAAGCAGCTCATGCAACCTCTCACCTGGCCAGGTTCCTTGGAGCTGCGATGAATGACCCTGAGACCTTGCAGTGTTTAGCTGAGGATGTGGATGGAGGACAAGGTTCTAGCTACTTGCTGGGGACGGTGGTGGGATGGCCTTGTTCCTATATGCTTGGGAATCTCTGTGTTTGTTTTTGTATCCACTCCTCAGTTTCTGCTATGGCTCCTTTGAGGCATCTGATCAAGATCTGTATTATGAGGCATCTGATCAAGATCTGTATTTTAAAATGAGCTTAAAAAATATATTTGCAGATGTTTGTATCTCTCATGCCAGGCAGAAACCAGCTGAGTACTCTGGCAGCTGTTTATCTTCCTGTTCAAGGGCCCCACTGATTTATTGCAGGAGACGAGTACCTCAGGGTTGTAAAAGGAAATTACAGGCTGGGAGCAAAAGGTCACACTGACCATACAAATTACAGAATACAATCAAGCTGCAAAAACACAATTAAGAGTTGGTAAATAGTAAGAATTATTGTGCCTCCCATTAAACTTGAGCCACATTTTCATAAGGTTAAAAGGGCAAATAGAAACAGCAGCTGGACTAGGGAAAGAGGCTTCTCTCTGAAGCTGCTTTGAAGCTTCAGAGAACTTAGAGAACTTAGCTTTTACTGAGTTCCTTTTCTTCTAAAAATCTATATATGTTATGTATGAAATATATTGGCTTAAATGTAATTATGCAAAGGATTTAGAAAGTAAGAAATGTTAGATTCTTATGTTAGATTCTTATTTCATAGATGGTGTGTGAGAAGGTGAACCCAAGATCTCTTTAAAATGAAATTAAAAAAACCATGCACCATCTGCTTTAGCCATCTGTTTTGCAGTGAATAGGGCAACAGGGGCCAAAGGTTATCTGGTAATTAAGGTGCCTGGTCGAGGCAAATGTAAGATATATGGCTACTTGTCTGCCATTTATGGATAGAAGGAAATATAGCTCTTTGTCTCCCATAAAAGGTAATAGGAAATGGGTGTATCTTTTATGATGGGTTCTAGCAAACAGCCAATAGGAATTTCAGCCAGGCTGATTGGACAGAGGCAGCCAAAGGAGGAGCAAGGGGGCTGGGCTGAGGGAATATAAGTGCTGGCCATCAGGGCTGGAGTGGGCAGAGCTTTGGTAACCATATACCACTGTGTCTCTCATTTATTTGTCTGACAAATAAATTATTATTTTAATTTCTCTATTGCTGCGTTGAATATTTCATTCCAGCTAAGCGTTAACCACAAGCAGGGTGCTACACCTTCTGCCTCCTTGTTCCACTAAGACTCTCTGAAGATTCTGGACTAGAAGTCACTTTACGTCTGGCCTGCTTCTTCCTTTACAAAATTGCCAGTTCTGCTCCCCAGGTTATCAGCCCTGAGTCCGAATGAAGCCTGCCAGAGCTACAATTCTCAGAGTTCCCTGTGAAGAGGGATTGATTGTTAAAGCACTCTGGGAATGGTAGCTTTGTGAGGGGAACAGGAGTCTCCCAATAACTCTGTGTCCTTAGCAAACTACAGCTCCCAGGATTCTTTGGGCTGTTTAAAGTGACACGATAGTGCTTCAAATGTATGGTGGCCCCAGTTGCCGACAACCCAATTTGCTGCTTCTTTACAAGAATCACAAGGTAATGCAATCGCAAGACGTGTCTAACCTTTTGTCCTCCAGAGGTTGCTGGAATCCAACTCCTATCGTGCCAGACTTTGGGGGCTGCTAGGAGCTGGAGCCTGGCAGCCTTTGGAGAGCACCACATGGGCTACTCTTGAGGACATGGGATTCTGTTGAAAAGGAAGGACCAGATGTCGCTTTCTCACCTGGATGTCAATGAACTGCTCAAATAGTTGCATAGGTCTCTCATCAAAAGTCTGAACGAATGTCTAAGGAAAATCAAACAAATGTAAATGAAGAAGAGAGGTACCCAGGTTTCAGTAAGACAGGCATAGGCAACCTCAGCCCACCAGATGTTTCCCTAGGTAACAGGACTAGTGGTCAGGGATAATGGGAATTGTAGTCCCAAAACATCTGGCGGGCCGAGGTTGCCTATGGCTGCAGTAAGATGACAACCTTGCAGCAGAGGCAATATTGTAAAGTCCTTGTTACAGCTTCAAACCCATTAAAGGGCTTTCTACCTGAGTAATCATTTAGGCATTTACTTTCTACTTTTATGCAGCTATACTATAACAAGAGTTCTCTGGGTACTCACAGGAAGCAAACCAAAACAAACCTAATAAAACAACAAGAAAAACAAAACACAGAAGCACAATTTAAAACTCAGTTATAAATAGAGTGGCCCAGAGGTAAAATGTATGTCTTTTAAAAGGTCTGGGTGAATAGACTTGTCTTCAGCAGGTGCAAAAAAGGACCATAAAGATGATACCACCATCATGCATGTTGTTGAATCCCCTCCGAAACAGTTGTTTTACGTGCTGATAAAGAAAATAGAATATTGTTAGAAGGAGATGCTGTGTTCAGTCAAGCCATGGAGCTTGCTTTCCAGGAGGCAGTGATGGCCACCAGCTTGGATGGCTTTAAAAGAGAATTAGAAAAATCCATGGAGGAGGAGAGGGCTGTCCATGGCTCCTAGTCATGATGGCTTTATTCCACCTCCACAGCTGTAGGCAGCAATACCACTTGCTGGAAACCATGGGAGGGGAGAGCGCTACTCTTGTGCTCAAGTTCTGCTCCCTCGTTCGCCACTGTGAGAACAGGACGATGGACTAGATGGGCCAATGGCCTGATCCAGAAGATTAGTCCTATGTTCTTATGTTAATATTTTATTATTTAAAAAACTTCTCCTTTACAGAAGCATATCAAAATCAAAACAGTCCCCAAAAGCAAAGGTGTGAGCATTTAACTCTCACATCCTCAGATAGATTTTTTTCATCAGTTCCAACTGGTCCCAAGTGCTTGAGCGACTGAAGGTTAATTGGTTAGTCTCCCAATTATATCTAATCATTTTGGACAAATGTAGTTGCCTTATGCTGAACCAAACCATTGACCTGTCTATCCCAGGCAAGAAAGGGTTTTTCCTGTCTGTTATTTAAATGGAGGAGGGGGAAACTATTTAACTGAACACGCCAGTTTGGATCAGATACCTGCATGAACAGGTTGTTAATATTAATGTTTGATGTTTTATTATTTATTTATTTAAAATGTGTGTTTGAAGCCACCCAGATTATAAATATTAAATTTATTATTATTATTATTATTATTATTATTATTATTATTATTATTATTATTATTTATTTTATCCTTAAGTTCAGTGACAGAGAATGTTATGAGTGCAAAAAAATCCCAGGTTCAATCCTTGGCATATCTAGGTATGGACGGGAAAGATTGGAGAGCTTGCTGCCAGTCAGTGTTGACAATTACTGAGCTAGGTGGACCAATGGGCTGACGTGATATAAGATCACTTCCTTTGTTGCTTTACCAATGAGCTATAGGCTCTCTTTCATTTTCTTTGGATTGCAGTTGACTATGGTCTGGACAATAACACCATTTACTTATATTGGACCAGGAAAGTAGCTTTCCTCTGTCCAACTGGCTTCCTCCACTCGATTTGTATAGTTATTGAGCTATTGCTGCTGGACTGTAGATAGGAGGAAAGCTGTTCCTCTTACCCTCTACAGCAGGGGTAGCAAACATGTTGTCCCCCAGATGTTGTTGGATTACATCTCCCATCATCTCTGAGCATAGACCATGCTGGTTTGGGCTAACGAGGGGACAGAGTCCAGCAATGTCTTGAGGACCACAGGTTCCCCAACATTGCAGAAATGACTGCAAACAGCCTCATAGTGTGTTCATTCTAGGAAAGCAGGCGGTTCATAGTGCCTTTCCAAATATTCCTCTTAGCAAGCCAGCACCTTCAAGTCCTAAGATCCTGCTACTGTACAATGACTTTCTCATTTGAGCCCCAGACAGGAAAGCCCCTGTCAGCCAAGGACAGTGTTTGTGCATGCCACCCGAAAGCTCACAGAATACCAACCTCATTGTAGTAGGGGCTGATCCCAAATTTAATTCTCGTCCTGAACACGTAATCCCCAATAGAGACTTTGACCACTGGCTTGATGTTGTTTTCTTGCAGCTGCCGGCACTCTATTATTCCAACTCGCACCTAGAAGGAGAGAGACAACATATTGGCCACACTCTGAAAGCATCTGTGATCTGTTGTCATAGTCTATGGCCAACAGGCAGCTGAGCAACACCCAGAATGGAGACATGCTTGGAGAAAGGGCCAAAATAAGAGAACAAAGAGGTGAAGGTGACAAGGGATAGTGGAGCTCAGACTCCAGGATGTAAGCCAGTGGGTAGGAATGGAAGAAGGCAGCATTTTCTGGTTCGCCATGTATATGTCACACGCTACACTGTTCCACTGCAGTTCATCTTCTGCCCAAGCCTGCATTACTTCTCTCACTGTCCACTGCAGTGAAATTACATAACAAATGTAATCTACATAATTAATTAACTAAATTGCATTGTCACCACATTATTACCCCCTATTCATTCTGATGCAAAGGATATGTAGTGCAAATGGGGAAGAAACGTAATCAATGATGTATCATTGGTGGACTGAAAGCAAAAGCAAATACTGATTGTATTTACTAGATTGATTTACCGGTATGTCCCAGATTATGGGACAAATAAGTGAACACTGACAATTTATGGTCCCACTTCCATTTTTTGTTGCAATTCTCTGATATCTTTACCAGTGAGTTACATCCAAGGAAAATAGTTGAGATAGAAAGAGGAGACTAACTAGTTATCATCCAGATGTTGTTGCACCTGATCTCCCATTAGTACCAACCAGTATGGCTGCAACTGGATGGCAATCAGGATGGCCTCAGATGTCTTAAAACAATGATTGTCCCTACATTTTGACCTCAGCAACTGGACCACCTTACCTGAAAGACTTGCTTCTTGTCAACCAACACTTTCTTGGGTGTGGGCGTTGGTGTTGCCTCTTGGATATCTGTTTCCTTTGGAACCAGTTCTTACCGTTTCAGAATCCTTTGCAAAGATGGGGCAGCAAACTGGTGAAGACCAGAAATAACAGTGCTGTAACGTCTATTGTTTCCATAGCTTTCCCCCCTAAATATTTGAAGCAATATCATGATACAAGAATTAATCAAAGGCAACAGAAATATTTCCTCCTGGGGACCTCCTGGGGCTAATGTGTGGTTCAAACACACAGGAGTGAAGGTGGTGTTGCTTACATTGCAGCGCAGTCTGCTGCACACACATTGGAATGTGCGCAGACTTATGTATGAAAAACAGCAGACAGGTCAATGGGACCCGTAAGGGGCATAAAGAAGGTGAGCAATATAATCTTTGAGCAATATAATTGATAGAAATAATAATACAAAGGCACAGCAATTGTACATAAAAACACAAGCAAAATAGACTCACCTTATAGGAAAAAAAATCAAATAGACTGAAAATATAAATTTCCTTAGGAAGCTAATGAGGTGTTAAGGATTTCATTGCTTCATCAAAATCATCTTAGAAATGATGACTTTCTCATGGTTGGCAGTTGAACTCTCTGGTTCAGTATTTAGAGGCCCATCATGGAATGAGGGAGCCAAGCTTGTGGGCTGGTAGCCAATACTAGGTGGGCATCAGTCCCAAGCCAACTGCATACTTACTAAAATTTCCTGAAATCATGTTTTTTTGATGGCAGCTCTGTTGCAGGTTCTGCAGGGGAAAAGCAGATCTTCACAGTGATGGTACACTGAAATGTTGAGTCACATGAATGTGTATTAGTTTGCAAGCAGCTAAAGTGAAAACAATAAGGGGTTCCCAAGCAAACCCCACCTGAAACCTAAAGAAGGCAGCCTGGCCTGCTCACATCCCTAGAACAACAGCCTGAACTGCAGAAATCACTGGGCAAGTTTTTAACAGTATGGATATAAGAATCCTCATCTCCTTATGTCTGCTTTAGCCAGTGTGCACCCACACTGTAGATACCAGGCCCCCTAAGAAATATTTGTGGATTCTTCTCTGAATGTTACATTTTCCTTTAGAAATAATTATTTTAGCTTATCTATGCAGGCTGCTATATTTTCCTTTAGAAATAATTATTTTAGCTTATCTATGCAGGCTGCTATATAGCTATTCACTCATGGTAAGGAAGGGTTTTCTCTGGGCAACCAGACAAGGAATTTTCTGTACGTCAGATGAATGTCAGCATCTTCTTAAATTTCTTCCAGGCTGCCTGGTGTGCCTCAAATATCTTCCACGTTGTGAGTTTTGGTTGCCTTTATAATTACTTAGAGGGCTATTGATTTTGTGGATTTATCTGCAAGACTGCCTTCTGCTCTTTTTCTCCAGCCACACTTGATCCGGCCTGTCACTATTTTGGCCATTGCCAGAAAAGTTGCTGGGATGGCTGAGAAGCACTGAGGCTCTTTCACAACTGGGTCCTATGGCTGCTTTTAGCCTTTTACTCTGGACTGCCATCATTCACTTCACTTAAATTTATGGATAATACGGATCCCATCACCACATAATTGCATTTCAGTGGTTTTATTCTACTTATCCTACCTTTATAGACCCAATTTGTGGTTTTTGTGTGTGCAATAATAAGAAATTGCAGGCACTGTCCTGTCCTGTATAGACAGGCAAAATGCTACTGAGGTGTCTTGGGACTCCCGTGCCTTTAATAAACCTTCCTGTTTGCACTTTCCGGCCTTTTTAATCCTTTCTGTTCAATTAAAAAGTTGGGCCTACAAAGAGGACATTTTAAATCAACATGGAATGGACTATTGCTGAATAGACTTGTGACTAAATATTATAGGAAGATTTAAGTTATGGGAAGAGCATTGCTGGACAATCTAATGCTATCTTTCAGTGCCATGTCCTCCTTCATGACCAGTGTTTACAAACTTCTAAATAAGTCCACTTCAGCAAAGGTCCCTTCTAAGGCTATTTAAAAGCACCCTGTTAATTCTACTTCCAAATAATTATGGAAAAGCAACACCACAGCAGGGAACCCTAGAGGGGAGGCAAGCCACATCAGCATTGTTCAAAATCTAGCAATCTAGAGCAGTATTTTCCTATTTGGTGTCTTCCAGATGTGCAGCCAATTCCTATCAGCCCTTGTCAACATAGCCGATTCAGGGATGATAGGTGCTGGAGTACGGAACATCTGGAGGGCAGAAGGTTGAGGAAGGCTGATCTAGAGGGAACTCAATGTAATCTTGTCCTGGGCCCACTGCCTCTCACTACCTCTCAGATGGACACCCAGATCCCCTCATCATTCACACACAGACTCCCCTTTCCTGGCATACCCCAGTTGGTTTCAGATTGTCATCCCTCAGTGCCAGGTTCTTGATGTTGATCAATGTTCTGGGTCTTTCAGAAGCAGCTCCTAAGGCTATGCTAGCAAAGCCAAAATTCCTAGAGTAGGAGATATAAGGGGAAGTTGTCAAAGAGCTTCAAAGCCAGTGCAAAAGTTAGCAGTGTGTTAGAAGGAGACCCCCTTCCCAACATGGTGCCCCCCAGATTTTTTGGAATACAACCCCACAGCATCTATGCTGCCTATGCTGCCCTGGGGCTGATGTGAGTTGTAGTCCAAGTCATCTGGAATGTTCCATGTTGGGCAAAGTTGGGTCAGGAGGAAGCACACAGGAGTCAGACCTCCCAGCCCACCAAAATCCGCATCCTTCCACAAAGATGCAAATATTTTGTAACAGAAGACAGAAGACAGAAGATCTACCCACCGTGGAAGAATGGCAGATGAAGGTGATAGACTATATGGGACTGGCAGAAATGACCGCAGAATCCGAGACCAGGGAAGAGAGACGGCGGAGGAAGATTAGAAGAAATTTAAGGACTATCTTAAGAAACATTGTAAAATTATTGAATGTTAGAACGATGTTGGTTTAGAAATTAAGTGGTTTCTAGCTGTAATGATTATGTAATTAAGAAAAGAAATGTTGAAAATCAATAGAAATTATGGGGTGGGGTTTGCTGAATTAAATAACTAGAAACTGGAATACAGAAAGGGGAGGTATGAGGAGGTCGGGAAAGTAAGGAATTAAGAAAATAAGGGATCGAAATTATACTTGTTGTTGTCTGTGTTTGTATTTTTGTTCTTTTTTATTTTATATAACTTTTTGAAACTTTAATAAATACCTTTTTTTAAAAAAGACATGCCAGGTTTCCCTGGCACTGTCAAGAAGATTGCTAGAGTCAGCCTGTTAATTTAATAGTAATGATAATGATGATGATGATAATAATAATAATTAATAATTTATTTATTTATACCCCACCCATCTGGCTAGGTCCACCCACTATCCACTGGAATTTGATGGCAGTGTCTGCCTGAGGGTCAAACTACATGAGGCATTTAAACATTTTACACTTTTGTACTCTTTCTTAGTACTGTAATAACAATAATTTGTTATTTGTACCCTGCCCCATCTGACTAGGTTGCCCCAGCCACTCTGGGTGGCTTCCGGCATATATAAAAACATAGTAAAACATTAAATCTTAAAAAGCTTCCCTATACAACTCAGTAGTTGCCCCAGATGAGAACTGGGGCCATGGTGGGCATGGAGGGGGCTTGAACTCTGCGCATGCCTGACAAAAGCCCATGACTTACTTGCACCAAGGAAGGAAGCTGCTGTTGTTGCAATATGTAGCCTGCAGGGGGATGGCAAGATTTGTAAAAACTTTGGCAGAGGAGGGAGGGGTTAATGCACCAACCCATGCACCGTTCCCAATTCTTCTCTCCATCATAGAAGTTGCGTATTTTAAATTTTTTTTGGATTTTATCGCGCTAGCTAAAGGCCATAGCAACATCCAAAGAAGGAAAAGGAAAGGAAAGGAAACAAAAACAAACAAACAAAACCACAGCAGTCTCTAAATACTACAGTTCCATTAGATGGTACAACTTCATGTGACCTGCAGTTTTGCCCTGAAGGTAGATGGATCTTCATTCCAGTTTACACAATTAGCAAAAACAAGAGATAACCCTCCTACTTCTCCCTAGACCTTTGCAGGTGTAGAAGAATATACCATATTTGAATACCCCACCCCCTCAAAAGACACATGGAAAACTAGCGCATCATGAATAAAGCTTCAGTCTGATGCCTGAGGACGAGATGGAACAAGTGCTCAAGTTAAGAAACAAAACAGAAACCGGGGCTGGATGACTTTGAGAACACACTAGAACTTCAGAAATGGGTTCTTAGCTCCCTCCCTCCCTCTCTCTCTCTCTCTCTTTCTTTCTTTCTTTCTTTCTTTCTTTCTTTCTTTCTTTCTTTCTTTCTTAATATTTTATATACCACTGTAGCATAGAAATATACCCCAGCAGTTTACAGCAAATAGAACCATATTTAAAAACATCCAGTAAAATAATAAAAATTAAAAGTAGGGTTAAAAGCAAACAAATTAAAAGCAAACATCTGTAGACTGGTGTGGAGGATGAGGTACTCTGAATTGCCTGTATAGGCCTGATGGAATAGAAAAGTTCTTAGCAAGCATTTGAAAGTACAAAAGGCACCTGCTGAATCTCTATTGGCAGTGCTGGACTGATGACACTAAAGGACCTGTTTCCTGTTGTTGAGCCCCACCAACTCTGGGAATGGTCAGAGATGTTCCTGTAGATGATTGTGGTGGGATACAAGGGTTCAGGCAATCCCTGTGGTATCCTGAACCTAAGATGTTCAGGGCTTTGTAAATTAATACAAGAAGACTGAATGTGGCTCAGTATTAGACGGGCAGCTCATGCAGCTGTTTTAACAATGGTGACACATGTTTTCAACAAAAAGCTCCCACCAGTGCTCTGGCCACAGCATTCTGCACTACCTGGAGCTTCTGAACAAGGCCCAAGGGCAGCCCCACATACAATGCTTTGCAGTAATCTAGCCTCAGAGTTACCAGTGCATGGATTACAGTGATCAGGAAGTCTAAGGTAAAGGTAAAGGTACCCCTGCCCGTACGGGCCAGTCTTGACAGACTCTAGGGTTGTGCGCCCATCTCACTTAAGAGGCCGGGGGCCAGCGCTGTCCGAAGACACTTCCGGGTCACGTGGCCAGCGTGACAAAGCTGCATCTGGCGAGCCAGCGCAGCACACGGAAACGCCGTTTACCTTCCCGCCAGTAAGCGGTCCCTATTTATCTACTTGCACCTGGGGGTGCTTTCGAACTGCTAGGTTGGCAGGCGCTGGGACCGAGCAACGGGAGCGCACCCCGCGCGGGATTCGAACTGCGACCTTTTCGATCGGCAAGCCCTAGGCGCTGAGGCTTTTACCCACAGCGCCACCCGTGTCTATTGATGTGTAAAACTAACATTGGGGTGTGTGTGTGCAAATGCTCGAAGGTCCGGTCCGTCCTCCTCATCATCCCCTCCTGCACAGTTTAGGACTCTGATCTTCCAGGGTTCTAAATCACCTGGGGAGGCTCCACTAGGGATAGATGAATTAGTACCAATTTCAGGTTCTCTCAGTTTCTCCTTTTCCCACTCTTAAGTTCAGCTCTGCACATTTCCACATCTATTTGTGGTTTGGCTTTGTTTTCCTCGTGAAAGTTCCATGAGAATTTTAGTGCAGCGTTTTCCTAATATACACATTCTTGTATGCAATTCTGCCTCATATGCCCAATTTTGCAAAACAATTTCTGGTGGTATAATGCATTTTTTTGGTTATATATCCCTAATATTACATTATTATGCATATTGTACCCAAGAACATGCATTTCTGTACGCACGAATTAGCTAGAGAATAGCATTGCAAACGGGTCCTTCAA